AATGGCGCAAAATATTTATTCAGACGTATGATTTTAATGTTCAGCTCTAGCTTTTCAAAATACCTGACTTACATTATCTCAGCCACAAAGGCGCAAAATATTTATTCAGACGTATGATTTTCATGTTCAGCTCGAGCTTTTCAAAATACCCAACTTTCAATATCTCAGCCTGAAAGGCGCAAAATATTTATTCCGACGTATGATTTTAATGTTCAGCTCTAGCTTTTCAAAATACCCAACTTTCAATATCTCAGCCTGAAAGGCGCAAAATATTCATTCAGACGTATGATTTTCATTTTCAGCTCTAGCTTTTCAAAATACCCGTCTTTCATTATCTCAGCCTCAAAGGCGCAAAATATTCATTCAGACGTTTGATTTTAATGTTCAGCTCTAGCTTTTCAAAAAACCCGACTTTCATTATCGCAGCCTGAATGGCGCAAAATATTTATACAGATTTTCATGTTCAGCTCTAGCTTTTCAAAATACCCGACTTTCATTATCTCAGCCTGAATAGCGCAAAATATATATTCAGACGTATGATTTTAATGTTCAGCTCTAGCTTTACAAAATACCCGACTTTCATAATCTCAGCCTCAAAGGCGCAAAATATTTATTCAGACGTTTGATTTTCATTTTCAGCTCTAGCTTTTCAAAATACCCGACTTTCATTATCTCAGCCTGAATGGCGCAAAATATTTATTCAGACGTATGATTTTAATTTTCAGCTCTAGCTTTTCAAAATACCCGACTTTCATTTACTCAGCCTGAATGGTGCAAAATATTTATTCAGACGTATCATTTTCATGTTCAGCTCTAGCTTTTCAAAATACCCAACTTTCAATATCTCAGCCTGAAAGGCGCAAAATATTTATTCTGACGTATATTTTTCAATTTCAGCTCTAGCTTTTCAAAATACCTGACTTTCATTATCTCAGCCTCAAAGGCGCAAAATATTTATTCAAACGTATGATTTTCATGTTCAGCTCTAGCTTTTCAAAATACCTGACTTTCATTATCTTAGCCTGAATGGCGCAAAATTTTTATTCAGACGTATGATTTTCATTTTCAGCTCTAGCTTTTCAAAATACCCAACTTTCAATATCTCAGCCTGAAAGGCGCAAAATATTTATTCCGACGTATGATTTTCATTTTCAGCTCTAGCTTTTCAAAATACCCGACTTTCATTATCTCAGCCTGAATGGCGCAAAATATTTATTCAGACGTATTATTTTCATTTTCAGCTCTAGCTTTTCAAAATACCCAACTTTCTTTATCTCAGCCTGAAGGGTGCAAAATATTTATTCAGACGTAAGATTTTCATTTTCAGCTCTAGCTTTTCAAAATACCCAACTTTCAATAATTCAGCCTGGAAGGCCCAAAATATTTATTCCGACGCATGATTTTCATTTTCAGCTCTAGCTTTTCAAAATACCCAACTTTCAATATCTCAGCCTGAAAGGCGCAAAATATTTATTCCGACGTATGATTTTCATTTTCAGCTCTAGCTTTTCAAAATACCCGACTTTCATTATCTCAGCCTGAAAGACGCAAAATATTCATTCAGACGTATGATTTTAATGTTCAGCTCTAGCTTTTCAAAATACCCGACTTTCATTATCTCAGCCTGAATAGCGCAATATATATATTCAGACGTATGATTTTCATGTTCAGCTCAAGCTTTTCAAAAAACCCGACTTTCATTATCTCAGCCTGAATGGCGCAAAATATTTATATAGACGTTTGATTTTAATGTTCAGCTCTAGCTTTACAAAATACCCGACTTTCAATATCTCAGCCTGAAGGGCGCAAAATATTTATTCAGACGTATGATTTTCATGTTCAGCTCTAGCTTTTCAAAATACCCGAATTTCATTATCTCAGTCTCAAAGGCGCAAAATATTCATTCAGACGTTTGATTTTCATGTTCAGCTCTAGCTTTTCAAAATACCCGAATTTCATTATCTCAGCCTCAAAGGCGCAAAATATTCATTCAGACGTTTGATTTTCATTTTCAGCTCTAGCTTTTCAAAATACCCAACTCAATATCACAGCCTGAAAGGCCCAAAATATTTATTCCGACGTATGATTTTCATGTTCAGCTCTAGCTTTTCAAAATACCCGACTTTCATTATCTCAGCCTGAATGGCGCAAAATATTTATTCAGACGTATGATTTTCATGTTCAGCTCTAGCTTTTCAAAATACCCGAATTTCATTATCTTAGCCTCAAAGGCGCAAAATATTCATTCAGACGTTTGATTTTCATTTTCAGCTCTAGCTTTTCAAAAAACCCGACTTTCATTATCTCAGCCTCAAAGGCGCAAAATATTCATTCAGACGTATGATTTTCATTTTCAGCTCTAGCTTTTCAAAATACCCAACTCAATATCACAGCCTGAAAGGCCCAAAATATTTATTATGACGTATAATTTTCATGTTCAGCTCTAGCTTTTCAATATACCCGACTTTCATTATCTCAGCCAGAATGGCGCAAAATATTTATTCAGACGTATGATTTTCATGTTCAGCTCTAGCTTTTCAAAATACCCGAATTTCATTATCTCAGCCTCAAAGGCGCAAAATATTCATTCAGACGTATGATTTTCATTTTCAGCTCTAGCTTTTCAAAATACCCGACTTTCATTATCTCAGCCTCAAAGGCGCAAAATATGCATTCAGACGTTTGATTTTAATGTTCAGCTCAAGCTTTTCAAAAAACCCGACTTTCATTATCTCAGCCTGAATGGCGCAAAATATTTATATAGACGTTTGATTTTAATGTTCAGCTCTAGCTTTACAAAATACCCGACTTTCATTATCTCAGCCTGAATGGCGCAAAATATTTATTCAGACGTATGATTTTCATGTTCAGCTCTAGCTTTTCAAAATACCCGAATTTCATTATCTCAGTCTCAAAGGCGCAAAATATTCATTCAGACGTTTGATTTTCATTTTCAGCTCTAGCTTTTCAAAAAACCCGACTTTCATTATCTCAGCCTCAAAGGCGCAAAATATTCATTCAGACGTTTGATTTTCATTTTCAGCTCTAGCTTTTCAAAAAACCCGACTTTCATTATCTCAGCCTCAAAGGCGCAAAATATTGATTCAAACGTATGATTTTCATTTTCAGCTCTAGCTTTTCAAAATACCCGACTTTCATTATCTCAGCCTGAATGGCGCAAAATATTTATTCAGACGTATGATTTTCATGTTCAGCTCTAGCTTTACAAAATACCCGACTTTCATTATCTCAGCCTGAATGGCGCAAAATATTTATTCAGACGTATGATTTTCATGTTCAGCTCTAGCTTTTCAAAATACCCGAATTTCATTATCTCAGTCTCAAAGGCGCAAAATATTCATTCAGACGTTTGATTTTCATGTTCAGCTCTAGCTTTTCAAAATACCCGAATTTCATTATCTCAGCCTCAAAGGCGCAAAATATTCATTCAGACGTTTGATTTTCATTTTCAGCTCTAGCTTAAAAAAATACCCGACTTTCATTATCTCAGCCTGAATGGCGCAAAATATTTATTCAGACGTATGATTTTCATGTTCAGCTCTAGCTTTTCAAATTACCCGAATTTCATTATCTCAGCCTCATAGGCGCAAAATATTCATTCAGACGTTTGATTTTCATTTTCAGCTCTAGCTTTTCAAAATACCCGACTTTCATTATCTCAGCCTGAAAGGCGCAAAATATTCATTCAGACGTATGATTTTCATGTTCAGCTCTAGCTTTTCAAAATACCCGACTTTCATTATCTCAGCCTGAAAGGCGCAAAATATTCATTCAGACGTATGATTTTCATGTTTAGCTCTAGCTTTTCAAAATACCCGAGAGAAAAAGGGCGAGAGCCATTGGGGAAAAGTATAAAAAGGCTGGATTATTGGGCATTAAAGGACACTTATCCAGGGGAAGCAGCCATGCGAGAACTGTGCCACTTCATCCAGTTTTTCCCAGAGATTAAATTCTTAGGGATTTAATATCTTGTTTAAAAATGGGTGTCAAGATTCATATCATCCTTTTCGTGTAAGTAGGGCTCCCCCAAAAGGCATTACATTAATTGTTTATTCAATCGATATAAATACATCTAAAGCGGGTTTATGTTCTGAAATTTTTTAGATTTAAAGCAAACATCAAAAGGTGAAACATATAAAACTTAAAGTTATTATTCAAAATTTGCGATTCTGTTAAATATGAGAGACACGGAATATGTAATTTTGGAATGCTACGAAAGTTTGAGTGCTGCGGCAGCATAATATCTGAGCTGTAATTTTAATCTGACATTTAATTGAATAATTGTAATGTATCAAAAGAACAAATAAAATGAATATACTTTCTGCGCTTTACCCAGTTAATATGTAAATTTGATTTAACAAAACTCCATTTGTGTTCACTAAAATGTATGTATGATGTACCTGGGCAGTAATTGCCTTCTGATACAATCAATAAAGACACTTTGTAACTAAAATAATTAACGTAAATTGACTGGTCAATTGAGAAGTATCATTTATCAAACCAAGGCTTTATTTCAATTAGGTTTAATAATTGCATCCCGGACTTACTTCATTTAAGAGAATTTTAAAAGGATACAGAAATCCAGTTAAATGGGACAATTAAAATTCAATAAGTAAGCTGTAAACCTCAACCACCTAAATATCCACCTCTGGAATTTAGCCGTGGAGGTTCGGAGAATAAAATACAGCAAACCTCTCGAAGAACATTATCATGTTATTTAATATTCAATTCTTGCATTCAAACGCGAGAGGGTGCAACTGGCGTTTTGGCAAACTGCCAAATTGAATGGAAAAGCAGATGCACTATACACGCGGGGGGTGTAGCGAGTGCGCGCGCGAGCGGAAAATAATATCGATTTTTGGTGCTTTTCGTGAGATCGGGGGTTGCGCCGGCGCCTTTGGCGTTCAATGGAAGCCGCTCAACTCCAAAGTATCAGCTGCACTCAGTGACAGGAACCGAAGAAGACAACACGCGTCGCACCCCCAAACAAATACACAGATTCGCCAAAAAATAATCTTCCTTGGTGAGTGAAAGTCGGTGCATGTGCGCGGAGCCCGTCGAAGCAAAGCTGCCTCTCTGCTCGCTCACCACTTTTTTGGGACCAACCGCCGCGATTTGCATGGTGAGTAAGTGAACATCTTATCCTCTCTCTCATACCTCGCGTGATTACTCGTCAGCAGAGCAACAGGAAAACACGCACTTGAAATTGTTGGCACATCAGCCACGTGTTTCAGATTTAAATTAGTCAGATTTATTATCAACAAGTTCCTGAAAGAACGTTGAAGTCGGCTCCATTCAAACAAAAATAATTATCAATCATAGAAAAAATGAATTCAATTAAACCACAAACTGGATTTTTGTACTGTTATTTCATACACAAATTTGGGACACTAAATTTTTTAAGAATTGCGCCTTTAATCTCATCCCGGTTGTGAAAAATCAAACACAAACAGATTCATAGAATAAAGCAACGAGGGAAAATAAATTTCATCGCTGGTATTAAGTCAATTAAATTTTGTGTTAATTAGCAACGCTTTCCGGCGAAAATTTTCTCAAAAGTAACATTGAATAAAATATCGTTATGATGAAATTTTTCCACTTCTGTTATCAATTTTTAATTTTTTGCTACTTTGGATTCAATATTTATTATTATTTTTTATATTTTAAAAATAAAATTCGTATAAGCATCAAGTATCTTTAAATGAAGGTATTTTTTGTTCAGGCATCGGCAACACCATCGAATCGCTTCACTAAAAAGTTTTTGAAAAGCATTTCAAACTCTCAATCTTGATCAACACGAACCGTTAGCGTGAATTTTTTACCGAAGTAAACAAAAGTAAAAAAAGTCGGCATAAATTGTTGAAGCAGACGATTTTCGCGGAACAAAGTGCACTCGTGCGATAAAAATGCTATGAATTGTGCAATTGACATTCCAGTCTGGCTGGGGTGCATGTAGGGGTCATTGATGGTTGAGGGCGGGCACCCCAGTGACCTGCTCACTCGCGGCCGGGCGGGCGGGCCAACCGGCTGCACACCTAGATCGGTCCAAGATGAGACGAGACTTGTGGTCGGCTGATGTGCTAGATCATATCAAGTGCGCAACTAGTTGTCTCACCGTTTACTTTGTGAGTACCAAATTACGTAAATTTTGTTGGCGAATTCAAATTTAAAAGCAAAATTTATTTAACAGATAAAATACAGTCTTGATATTCCCAAACTTTTTATAAAATTAAAATAATATTTTTTATACATTTAGAATTTATGCTGCAATCGTTTAAATTTTTAATTTCAATCCAAATTCTAAATTGACCATGATGATATTTTGCCGAAGAGTGCCTAATTTTTTAAAATATCTCCTTTCAATCTTTGTTCAAAATTACGGAAATTGAAAATGGCAATTAATCAATATTTAGAATTAATTTTAATTTTCTGTGAAAATTATGAATTTTATATATCACATTTTGATGCTATTTCTAAAAGGAATTTATCTCATTTTTTTTCCATTCAATTGATTCGCGGCTGCAGAAAACGTGACGAAATGCTAATTTCATTATCAGAGTGTAAATTTCTTGGCCCCGCTTCGAGCTGCTCCATTTATAATTCACCTCGTCCTTTGTGTATTTACAAAGTTAGCAGCCGAGCGAATCATAGTGTTCTCTGTTTCTTTCTTATCAACTAGTCTCTCAAGTTCAGTGTCCTGCCTCGGTGGTTACATCACTTGCGCCGCCGCCGCCGCTTTCATGTTCTTCTATAATTGAACTTTTTTGCGGGGCGCCACCGCCGCCACTGGCCCCGTCGATTACACTTGAGAATAAGAGCAAGTGGCGCACGTTTTGTGTAGTTTTTGCTGCGGAAAATTTCCATTCCGTCCTTGCAAGGGAAGATGGCAAGTGAAGCAATGTTTGTCATTTCTGCCGCACTTCATCTTCCATGACTCATAAACTGACAGTCACTGTTGTCATGGTACGTATTTATACGTGGCAAATATTTTCCGTCCCAGTTATTTTTCCAAACATAATTATGCGTCAGAGACAAATCTCCGCATCGGAATTGGATCTGCGTAAATTTGTTCCAAATTCAAATTGCTGCAAAATATTATAATAAAATATATAAATAATAAAAATTGCAAAGAATTATAAATTAATTTGCTCAAATTACAATTTAACCGTCTTTTCCCGTTTTAAAGGCAAATAAAAAATTCACTAAAGATAAAACGTGCCATGAGCAGGTTCGTTGGCCTGCGCTTGCACTTTTAAGTTGTTGTTGCGCCTCTTACATGCTGCTTCAATAATAAGTGCATATTAAAAGGGAGCCGTGTGTGAGCTCGGAAAAGCGGCTTTCTTGCCACGGAGGTCTTGTTGTGGAGCTTTTAACATAAGGAAAAGGAAAAAGTATAAGACGAGTAAGAAAAGAACAAGAAAGACTTTCAATTCGAATTTTGTGCACTTCAAAATTTGCTTTTAAATTATATACAAGACGGAATAAATTTGTTGCTAGTTTCAATTGACCCAAATAATATTATGATAGATTTCTGATTTAAAAAATTCTAGCATTCATTATTAATTTAAAAAATTGTATTTCAATATCAATGATTTAAAATAGTTTTTACTCATTGAAAACGCTTCAAAAACTAACAAATGGAATTAAAAAAAGAAAAAAATTGTGTAGAGTTTTCCGCCTCCATTCCTCTTCCTGTGATGAAAGCATTCGAATATAAATCAAGGCTGCGCGCACTATAGTGGCAAGGGATGCTGCGAGCAGCTATAGGGCTGTTGCCAGGGTGGCTGGTCACACCAGAATTGCGTTCACGTGCGTCGTCGCACCCCCAGCAGCCCGTTCGTTCCCCCAACGCAAACCAAACTTGTTTAGCAACCGCTTCAAATTGGTTGACGTTGGGAAATTAATCTTAGATTCTGAACCTCAGAGGTAGGCGTGTTTGAATTTTGTTGCGAAAATTGCGCCTCATTATCGAAACATGAGTAAAAAAGTTGCTCTTTTCCAGTTTCCGCCAAAAGCCAAATGGGCGAACCGCAAAAGTTGCAATTCCTCGAGGGGAGCGACACACATTTCCATGCAAATGATAAGACTCGCAAAAAATATGCGGCAAAGAGAGGAAATAGGCGGCCGAGCAGAAGCGGAACCCACCAAACTGCAGAGACAGTGCGGGGCTGGCTCCTCAAGAGTTATAACTGTGAAATGAAATTTCCCTCGATTTCACCCCTTGTCAAAAACGAGACCGCATAAAAATTATTAGAAATGATAAATTGCAAGGATTGTGCTTAAGCAAAAAAAAGCGGGCCTAACAAGCGCAATAGATCTGGGTCTACCTGCCGCACTTTTGCACGCCATAACGTTCATCTGGTGGTCTATTGCGCCTGTTAGATCCGCTGTTTTTTGTGTGTCTGCCACGAGAATGAATAATTAAGAACTTATTTTCAAAGTTATAAATGAATTGAAAATAATATATATTATATTATCTGACTATGAAATTTTATCATTTTGTCTGTGCTAAAGAGAAGGCTTTTTTTAGTTAAGCATATAATAATTTCAATCTTTAATGATAATTTCAACAAATTTCTTTGACCACGTTTTAAGGTATTTCAAAATTCTAAGTTAACGTTACAATTTGTCATTTTTTTTTAAATTGAGATTTATTCTGGCTCCAAGGAGTAATTCTCTGTTGGAAATGATGTCATGTATAGAATGGAAGGAAAAATTTTAAAACAAAGTTCAAAGATTTCTACTAAAAATGAAACCTTGAACAAAAAGTACATTTCCCCAAAATTATGGTGCTCTGTTGCACATTTTTGTGTATTTTTTGCCGTTCCGTAAAAGAAACAAAACAAATAGCAAAATATATCTTAGCTTTTATTTAACACAACTAATGGAATACATATATGTATGTTTTTATCCGACACGATAAGTTTAAATCCTAATATACCAAATAGAAGATAATTATGTTCTCATCGATAACATCTTATTACATTGTTATCTAAAACCCACCACCAAAATATTGGTAATATTGCCCCAGGTCAGAATCGCAAATAGGAGCCCCATCTTCCACAAAAAAACCTGCCCCGGCAAGTTCCAGATCGACCGAGTCAGCGTTCTGTTCCAGCTCGTTCAGCAAATTTCGTTTGTCTGAATTGGAACGATGCAGCAATTGGAATTTCCAGACGGTGTAAGGGCTGAGAGGCACGTCGCCGTAAGACATTTTATCAAACACGGTGTTTCGGGACACGGAACCTCCCTGTTCGTTTTTCTCAAAGCTGATCTTGAAGTTCAGAACGTCGCCGCCAATAACATAATACGTGCCTCCGCACTTGTAGTGGCTCTCGCCCGTGTGCACCATCTCGATCTGGAAGTGGGTCAGTAGCTCGTGGACTTTGCGAGCCACCTGAGGGTCGGACGATGTAAGGTTGAGCAACAACGAATTAAATTTCACTGCGTTTTTTACTCCAGGGCTCATGACTGAGGCTGAGAGGGTCACCTGTTCGCCTTTGAGAAGCTGCTTTATTTGCTTTTGGTACTTCGAATTTTTCCAAGTGAAAAAGGGAGAGCTGGATGTGTATTTGGAATTAAATTCAGTTGCCACCACACTCTTCTCTTTGTCATTGATGATAGCGTCTTGCATGTTGTGAAGGTCGTCGATAATCAAGTTAAGGCCCTCCTGTAGGATCACGACTTTACCCTCAAGGTTAAGATCATGGTTTTCTTTTAGCTGGGCCACCGTAGAGTGTAACACACCGGTTTTAGATCCACCAAACGGGAACAATGTTTGCTGATATGCTGTGAAGATGTACAGGAAGTTTCCAAACATTTCATCAGCATGAATTTCTGACACTAGCTTCTGCTGCCGATTGCACAGTTTAGGATCTTCTGATCGAGAGCAATCTCCACCGTGAAGGCGCCCGAGAAAGTCCTTGAGCTGCAATCTGTACTCGAGTTCGTTCAGCTTATCGTACGCGTCAATCAAAATTGACATGTACTCTTCCAAAAAAACGAACGCGTCACCTATTCCATCCCCTTCTTCCACAAAATCCTGCGTGAACCTATTGATCAAAGAGACAAATCGGCGGGCATGCTTTTTTATATTGATTTTTCTGAATTGCAGCATCACTGAATTGGTATCTCTTAAACCTTTTTGCAAATCTTCAAAGACCCGTAGCATGTCTTCAAGCATTGGCATGAATTTGTCATTCAAAGATTTCTCGTAGCGCGCCATTTCCTGTAATGCCACCCTATTAGACTCTATGGCTGCATTGATCTGTCCAAGCTTGGACTGATCGTTCATGTACCCAGTTACTACATCAACAATTGCAGCTGGTGCCAGAGAAAGCTGCCTCACGTAGTTCATGCCTTTGTTGGCTAACTTCAATTTATCTATCTTCTCTTTGGGAACATTATCCTTCTCATATTTTGAAATTCTTGATGTCAGATCCTTTCCCACAGAATCGAATAGACCTGAGAGATTGGTGAACACTAGTTTTGTAGCATTGCTTTGTGCACCCTTGTATTTTACAAGCATTTCTTTGACTGCTTTCCTTTGTGCTTCGTCTATAATTATGTTTCCAACGCTAGCTTCAGTTTCTATTACCATTTTTAAAGCATTTAATTGTTCAATTTTTCTCGAGTTATCGTCTCGTTCTCTTTCCTGCTTATGCTGCTGAATAAGTTTCATGGCATTGTCAAGTCCTTTAGGCACCCTAGCTGTTCTGGCTTTCAAATCAACATTCTGACCGTTTTGAGAGATCGCAGACCCCAATGTGTTCAGAGTTGTTCCAATCATAGCAGCAGGTGGGAAGAACACGCTGGCCACTTGCGCAAAGACATTCAAAGTGCCAAACACTGTTTTTATTATCAATGACTTTTCCACAGCACGTTTGTGCTCCGTTAGTTCTTTTATGTTGCTCTGATACTCGGTCTGAAGTTGCTTCGTTTTGTCTAACAAATCTCCAAACTTTGCATCCACCTCATGTTTAACCTCACTGATCTGCTTTTTGTGTATGTTTTCAATTAACTCTCCTGCCTTTTCAATTTCTTTCCGAGCATCGTTACTTGCTGTTTCAACAGTGGCGAATATTGCTATCTCCTTCACTGAGCTCTTAATAGTTGACAATTTATTGCTTAGTTTTGTGGCTGCAGAGGGTAGATGAACGATTTGCTTGCCTATGGAGAATGTCTGCAAATAGTTCAGTCGACTGATAAATAACAGCTCAACTGCTTTTAATTGTGCAATGTCACATTTTTTGCATTCTTGCATGAATGATCTAAATGAACGGTAGAGCATTAAGTAGGCTGTTTCTACATTGCCCATATTGTTGTTTTTCTCGAGAAAGGAATTCATATTCTTCACTAAATACAAGTAGTTTTCAATTGTTAACGTGTTGACTATTCCTAAATCAGTGACGAAGTATTCTAAGAAGTCCATTTTTTCGGATTCATCAGGAAGGTGTGCAGAAGACTTAATTGCGAATGAAAAAACGTCCTCAATTGCATGGAAGATACTATAGGCTTGCGCATATTTGTATGATAATTGACTTGTATAACTTTTCCCTTGTTGACCATTACTGCCTTTCGGAGTCATATCCGAGCTGAATCCTGTTTCTTTTGAACTGCAGTAGTAGTAATAACCATCGGTTTTTAGTTTCACAGGAACGAATGCAACAAAAACGTTCTCTGTAGTTGCCTCACAGTAATATTTCCTGTAGCTATATGCATTCACTGGTTTACCCGCGTCACCGCCAATTCCTCCTAAAGGCTCAAGCCCTGTTTCATAAATTTTTTTTGCTTTTTCAATTGAGGAAATGTTTTTTATAAAATACATTTGCGTTCCAAAATGAGCAGGTATTCCTCCATCACCACCGTTGCCGCCGTTACCCGGATTTCCGCTAGCTTCATTTCGCACAAAAATATCCAATTTGCCCACATACTTAAAGTAGTTGACCACCAAGGTTGGCACCTCTAATCTCTCTTCGCCTAACCAAATGAATTCATTATTTGACATTCCAGCACTGGCAAGCTTTTCTTTAAGTTCATCCCATTTTCCCTCCAGATTTTCGTATACGTCAGGTATTTGTAGTGTTGGAGAATAACCATCCCCTCCGTGTTGTCCGGCGCTGCCAGCTCCCCCTACAGAATGCAAAACCAGAAGGTGGGGATTAATTACGTTGAGCGAAACTATTGTCACAGCTCCTGAACTGAAACCATTGAACCCATTTGCACCTCTCTGCGATAATTCACGAGCTTTCTTCACAGCATGGACTTGTGCGTCGTCACCTTTCATGTAGATCTTCCTTTCTTTATCAATGGTCTCGATGATAGTTCCAATGATCATCAAGTGCTTATTTTTCAGATTCAGATCACAATCAATAAAAATCTTTTTGGTAGCGATGAACACAATTTGTTCAATGCGATCATTTCGTTCAACTGCAGCAGCAATCTGACTAAGAACCACATAACGGCCAGTAAAAGTAGCCACTCCAGATTCTACTTTTACATTAGTTGTTCGCCCAATGTTGTTTGAAGCCAAATACAGGATCTTGTCAAGTCTTTCCTCGTTTACCGAAATATTAAAAGCAGAAACAGTAGTATTGTCATGAAAACCAATTTTTGCGAGCAAAGTCCTCCAGATGTTGAAGTTTTGTTCATTAATGTCCATAAATTTTGATTTTGTTTCATTGTTCATTGACTGAACTGGGTATGTGTCAAAATCAGCCACGAATCGTCTGCAAAAGTCGAAAAATTTACGAGTTTCATCCATGTGCAGCAAAAAAGTTGCTTTGGAACCAAACATGTTGGCAGCAGTCACTTCAAAGTCATTGACTTTTTTCCCCACAACTTCGTAGAAAAAACGCACTTTTGATGCCTGAAACATGATTTCTTGCCACAATTCTTTATTGATGTTCATTGTCTGGACAAAATACTCAAGATCTTCTACTCGCTTCAAGTTTTGCAATTGCCTGGCAGAAGTTTCACTGTAACTGATGATGTAATCCAGGTGCTTCTCAAATGGTTGCATGTTAATTCTCTCGTCAAACATCCTAGTCATTTCTTCGCCAAGATCTTTAAAACGTGTAGTAACCGTGTCCGTTGCGCTGGAAATAAGATGCTCATTGATGTAATTTATTGTGGCTGGAGCAACCGAAACACTAAACTTGCCACTGAATGGCGAAGAGAAATTTAGTTTTTCGAACATGAGCCTTCTCACCAGATTGTAATTTAACATCATTGGTCCCAACTTCCAGGGACTGCCAAGTGCATTAGGTCGTCGAAATAGTCCGAAGTAATTACCTTGAAGCAGATAATCTGTTATCTTAATCTGGAGTTCAAGTTCCTCGACTTTCGCATCGTCTCCATCCAAAACAGCATCACTTTGCTGCTCCAATAGAAAATCTCGAGTCGAAGAGACGTAAACTTTAATTGAAATTAGCAAGGCCGCATCGCTTTTTCCCGAATCAATTTTCGAAGCAACCAATCCAATCGCTCCTCCGAACGAGTCAATATTGCTTTTTATTAAATTGGCCAAGTGCTTCAGCACCGTCAGGAAACCCGACCGAAAATTGTTAAGCAAAACGTTGGCATAGTTTTCAACAATAATTATTTTAAAGCGCTTGGCAGAGTCAAGAATATTTTTGTTTAGATACGACGCAACTAGGTCAAATTCGGCGCTGCGTGTGTCGCGAAAACCCGCACAATCAATCAATGGAAGATTTGTCATAGGGTCAATATCAACGTTTGGAAAAAAAGTTTTTGACGTGTGACTGTTCTGACTACCAATTTTAACCTCGTTGTCCACGAAGATGTAGTCCATCTGCTCGTTTTGTGCAATCTTCATCGATTCGTCCTTTCGGATAAATTTTGAGAGTGCACTTTTCCCGGTTCCGGTTCCTCCGACGAGAACAATAAAGTCCTCGTGGCCCATCAGATCAGTTTCCGCTACGCCATTCTGTAATTTAAATTTTTATGTTACGCTCAACATATGTCTTTATTTAAATTTCTTATATTATTTTTTATTTTATTGACTTATTTATTGAATATAATTAAATATAATTAATATAAATAAAACTTGAATTGTACTTACTCTTAAAAGACTATCAATATGAGATGAAGGAGCAGCAATTGTATTGTGAACTAGGCACCAGAAAACAATGCTCCATCGCAGCCATAGCTGTAACTGTTAAATGATCAAATAAACAAATCGTTTTAACTTTTTCGAATTTTTTGATCATGTAATTAATCCGTTCACAAATATTATGGGTCTGTGGCAATGCCAACGATACTGTCTTTTGTTGCCAAATTCATTATTCTAATCAATCGCATATTTCAAGAGTTCTAAAAAATTAAATCGTGTGAAAGATTTTCAATAGAAAGGGATAATTATTCACAAAAATAACATGTAATTAATTTTATTAAAATTTCATATATCGCATAAACATAATTTAAAATTTGTTATTATAAATCAAACATCATTCCAATCAAATTAAATTCAATTCTAGAATAAATAACAAAATGAAATTATATAGGGAAATTTCAAATTGCTTCCTGTGGATTAAAGTGAACTTAGTACGTTCCCTGCCTGGCAGCAACTGACGACAGCACAAACAGTGGCCTTAATTATTGGCACTGGCCGTTTTTTTCCGTGAATGAAATAAAAGAATCAACACATCGCTATTAATATTTCAATACCATCGGGATCATTATTTTTAACAGTTCAAAGTTTATGAAATATAATTTCATTTTGCGCACCAAGTGGCAGAGCGAAATGGTCTTTTCAACTTTAGCAAGAGGTCAAGATCAATTTGGAAGAGCTGAGATTAAAGATCATTGCTTACTGATTTTTGCTTAAGTATAAAGGATAAATTTCCATTAAACATCTAATTTATTTTAAAGCGCTGCGATCAAGGCACTGAAAACGGCTAGAAAACGTTCCTTTTCGTTCTGTACATGTGTAGCTTAAAATTTTAGGGTGAGAAAAATAAAACGCTGCACGTTCATGCCATGAAAAATAAATGTATCAAAGAATAAAGTAGAGGAGAAATTTTGGATTGAAAAAATCTAATTAAAATCAGTCGGACGCTTCACATCTATAAAAAATTCAACACAAAATATGGGCGCAAACGCAAAGCATAACCATCAAGTAATTCAACTAATTCTGAACTTAGAGATTAAAAACAAAAATTTATATTCTTTAGATTGCCCCAGTAAGTGCGAAAGTGGTATTTTAAATTCTCAATTTCACTAATATTGAAAAAAAAGTCATAATTCTCAATGGTTTAGTCGAATCCAAGATTTATAGGTGAGCCAAATTTAATTTTAAAATTATCTTCGCCTTGAAAAGATCAACTTATTTTTCTTTATAAATCCTCTATTTTTATATCAATGCAGACAAAAATTGATTTTTTTTTTCTTTTTGTTAACCAGATAATCTAATAAATACTCACCATGTTTGTAAATTGTCGTGCTCAATTGCTGACGATCCATACACGCCGAAAGTTGTTGATGTTATGTGGCGAATAATCTGGTGTGACTCGGTGAAAGGTCATGCAATCTTTAATGATATGTCGCATTGGCGGGCAGTAAAGGATACGCGCAAGTAATAATTAATTATATAATGGAATCACTGCCGGACAAAGCGAGTATTCACCAATAATGAATTATTTCTGTGAGACACAAGTACCAAGTTCCATTGTTGAAAACAATTAACAACAATCGAGAATTGAACGCATGGTGTACTATTTATGAAAAATATTCAGATGGATAGAAGAATTAAAGAAAAAATAATTAGTGAGTGATATTTAAAAAATCTTTATTTCTTTCAACAGCAATTTTATTTTTTGAGCAAAATGAATAATAAATAAAAATTAATAAAACACATAAATATATATAAATGGTTATTTTTTAACATTTCAGAGATAAATTTTTTATTAGTTGCTCTCAAATTTTATTTGGGAGTTCTGCTATAAAAATCATTGTATGGATTCGAACGGAACGTATAAATAATATAATATTTTATTTGCAATCTCTGCTAGAGAAGCGGCCCGCGTTTCTCAGACTGTTACGGCTTACTCAGGAGAGGCTTATTGAAAATTATTGGCATTGCAGGATCGATAAAAGGGAGAGATAAAGCCTGCCCTCGCAATTTCCCCAAATTATACAGACGTCAATATCTTTTTTTGTGTGGAAATTTTAGTGGCCACAAAACCAGTGTAGAAGGCTAAGTCGTGTCCTGGAACTTGATGAATTTTTTTCTGCCATCAATTCTCGTCGAATGGAAAGAAAAAGTTTGTTCGCAGCTTTGCAGACGCCGCACTTGCGAGAGGGCAAGATTGATGCGTTCAGATAATCGCGTGGGGCGAGACACTTAGTTCGAATCTGTGCTTCCGAACAACCTTTCACCCTTTTTCAATGAAGCTCTCGGAACCACTTGAGAGAAGGTTCTATAAATCAACTGCTTATCACGCAACAAAATGGATACTTTTGGAGAACAAATTCATTTCAAAAGGTTTTTGAAAAGGGGAAAAAAGGGAAGAAAAGAATAGAAACAAAAATTAAACTTTTTAGTCTCAAACTTCGTGTAAATAAAAAAAAAGTTGCATATAATAAAGGATTTTGATTTCTTTGAAAAAATTAAGTAATATTTTGTTTGAAAATCAAATGATGTGATTAAGTATTATTCGATTGGTTTCAGATGGTGCGTGACATGTCAAGTTCCGGGAGCAGCAGCGGTTCCCGATCGTTGGACCGCGCCCTGCACGGCGGCTCTCCAGGGGGCAGCAGCACCTCGTCGTCGGCCTCTTCCAGTTCGCTGAGCCTGCAGGGCCGTTACATGAGCACCAGCCAGCACAGCCAGCAGGGCGACCCGCCTCCGCCCTCCGTGGAGGCGGCGGCGCTGCCGCCCCCGATCTCGCCGGCGCCCTCGGCCGAGCACTTGCCCGACTTCTTCCACCACAACCCTGAGCACTGCGCGGCCTCCTTCGCCGCCATCAGCAAAATGAGACAGAACGCCCAAGTGAGTTTTCTTACAAAATATTTATTCTTTCAATTCAATTCATTGCCAAGTTTGTTTATATTTTACATCACACAAACTTGTAAGGTTCTCTTATTGTTAGTTGTGCAAGCAAAAAATAATAATAATAAATTTTATATTCATTTATTTACGATTGAAATTCATCCTCTGTAGGAAAAATTAAAGAAAAATAGAGAGGAGAAATTATTGCATTTTTTTTTTAATTTTATTATATTCTTTAAAAGTAAAAATATAATATCAGTATAATTTTTACTTTTTAATCATCTTTTACGTTAGCAGGAAGTTTCATTAAAAAAAACCACAACCTATATTTATCTTAAACACTGATTATTTTACTCGAGTTTTACGCTTTGACGGAAACACATAAGTAAAAATATATGTTGGAGTTGGAATTGCTTAGATTTTTTTTCCTCCTTTTCTGAGTGAAATGTTATATTAACAAAAATACCAAAAATGTGCTCGGATAGCGTCGGTTTTGATCAATAATCTGCGTCAAAATGAAAATGCCATCGGTGATGAGGAAAGGTGATTAGCATTTGCGAGCGGCGAACGCGGTGACCTGTTCAGCTGCTCCCTGTCTGCTGCCCCCATTCGGCGTTGACATTACACGTTATCTGTCTGAGTGGCTGGCCCACATATTTTGCGAGCAAAAGGCTTTCTCGCCGGCGTGGCGCGTTCACCCCACAAATTGCTCCCTCGCCCGACCTTGCTGAGAAAAAGTAATAACAGTAAAATGCACGCGTGATTTGCAGTAGAGATTTATTTTCTCATCCCAAAATATACACCTCCATTTATGATCAAGGCTCGTTAACTTTCTCCTCACGTTCGCCAAATATTGGTCGGAAAAAATCTATTTCAGATTAATGCCCTTCATCTTATTCGACCCGTTTTCCATTTTTGCGCGCTTTCTTATGAATTTTTAATCGTTGGACCCTTTTTTCCTTTTAAATTATGTCCCTAGCGAAGAGATGAATCCCCAGGCGAACTAATAAACTTGTGAAAGAGACCCTGAGCGCATTAATCTCAATCGCGGTCACAAAGTTTGCCTCGAGCCGTGTTAAAAATTTACTCGACTCCCTCCTTTGCCCGACCAAACGTGAGCTATAAAAAAAGTTGTTTTGCACTCGCTCCGGACTCCCTTCTGGGGCCAGAGAAAGTATAACGAGGCTCACAAGTACAGCCAGGCTAGACAGAGACAATAATGACCGTTGCTAATTGGGACAAAGTCAACACTCTCTCATTTCTCGTCTCTAGTGGTTGTTATGGCAGGTAAGAGCAATTAGCAGACGCGGACAATGAGCAGCTTTAAATATTTAATTTGCAGCTTCATTTTTTTATAAAGAGAAATATTTTTATTCCTTTCGAATTTTGTCTCTAAAATACTATGCATTTATTTATTTCAAAATAAGTATCTGATATTTTATTAAAAAAATCAAATTGTTTTCTCTTTTGCAGTTGTGCGACGTCGCTCTGATTATTGGAGACGAGGTTGTTCACGCCCACAAGGTGATTCTGGCGTCCATCAGCCCTTACTTTCATGCAATGTTCAATGGTGAGTGAAATCTAATTATTCGTAAAATCCCAACGACGATTGCAACTCTGTTCTTTTGCGTCGCAGTGCCAACGACAGTTTTTTTGCTCAAAGAAAACAAGAATGATTCCACTTTGGACAGAAATAAATTTGTTCTGTCCTCGCATGGGGTCGACGCAATTTTTATTGAAATGAAAAATAACTTGCTGCAGATGATCTGGCTGAAAAATCGCAGAGCGAAGTAACTCTGCACGACGTCGACTTGGCAGCGCTTCAGCTCCTCGTCGACTTTGCTTACTCCGGACATATCCTGATTACGGAAGACAACGTTCAGGTCAGTTTTAAAAACTCAAATTTATCAACAAATTGCTTCTTGCTGCTGAGAGGCCGTTTGTATCCGCCCCAATACTGCAAATCGATATCCCGCCGCGCCTAGAGAATTCAAACTCGGTTCGGTCTGATAGGATTGATAATATCAATCTTTGTGATTTGATTTGACTCGAGACAATAGTTTCAACAATGTTGCCGTTTAAAAAAAAAATTCGGGTGGCCTTGGCTGACTCTGGGTCGAGTTCAGGTTTTATGGCGCATAATATAAATGCAGCCTAGCCGTGATAACTGGCACACCACGTCCCCCACGACCATTAATGGAAAGGCACGGTGTGTTGCATCGTAAAGTTATACAATGTCGGACAAACAGGCGCATAGGTAAAAAAATATGATGCAAAATTATTCAACCGGCCCTTGGAACAATTTAACAAGGTTATATGAATCCATACAAAAAATTATTACATGCGTTCGTTGTTTTGTTATTCTTATTTCATTCTTGTCTCTGCGGAATTTTGTTGCATTTTTACTGCTTTATCCAATTTAAAAGTTTCCAAAATTTCTGATTCAGATTCTGCTGCCAGCTTCAAGTCTGCTCCAAATGGCTTCGGTGCGCGAGGCGTGTTGCAAATTCCTAATGCGCCAACTCCACCCTTCCAACTGCCTCGGGATCCGCAGCTTTGCCGGTGAGCGAAATTCCTGCACCTAAATTCGTGCGAGAGGCCTATAAAAGGGAAATTTATCTTTTTCCAGACGCCCACTCGTGCAAAGAGTTGCACAGAAGGTCGCACCGATTCGCCCTGCAGAACTTCCAGGAGGTCATTACCACCGAGGAATTCCTGCTGCTGCCCTTCCAAGAGGTAAGCAAACTTTAAAAAAAAGTTAAACGACAGATCGCCTGTGAGTTGGACGAGTAGGCAACACGCACGACTCTCTTGTTGCGCACGCTGCATCGTTTCGACACGGATTAATTTGTAAGGACGTAATCATTTTTGACGAGGGTTGACGCGCTGATTAAAACACACCTCTTAATTGGCTTGTGTGGTTTTAATTAATTTTTTATCAGCCTGAAGCTTTTTTATTATTCTTTTCAAAATGATGATAAGTTTTTCTTTATTCTTTGGTCATAAAGGAGTCTCTCGATTGAATAGCTCAGCATTTCAAAAGATGATATTTTTGACAAAGCCTAATCTGAATAGCTGCTTTTCAAACAAAGAGCTTCGCCGTGAGAGCAGCTATAATAAATTATTCAAAGTGCTGTCTGGAAAATGCTATTCTTGAGAGCATCAGTACATGGTGGTGTGAATACCAAAAGGGTTGCTTGCTTGTGCAGGAAAACGTTGAGGGCTTCTTCATATTGATTTCCTCCTCTCTGTGTTGAGAAGTGGGCTTGTTATTTTTGGCGGTATAATCTATAGATCAACACTCTGCAATGAAGCCCACGTTGTAAACTAATTTTTTCATATTAAAGAAAGAAAGAAAACCGTGAAACAATTCATTGATTAATGGACTTTCCGTTGCTTGCAGGTGGAGCAACTCATTTCGAGCAATCAACTCAACATTTCCACCGAAGAGAAAGTTTTCCACGCCGTGCTGACGTGGGTCAAGCATGATTTGGCAGAAAGGGAGCAGCACATTTCCAAGGTGAGGAGAGAGAGCTATTATCGTCTCCTCATGTTACAAATCGACTGTGCGTAATGAGCTTCTTCGATTTCCTTTGAATCGAAATATGAACGAAAAACAAAAAATAAGCTGCTTTCCGCGCGCCAAAGGAAAACCTATATTATTATCCTGGCCGCGTGGAAAAGCTTAGAAAGTCGTTGACAGATTTTGTCTGCCGTCGTATCACGTGGAAAGGCCGCGGCATATCGACCAACTTTCTTTTTCTCGTCTACTTGTGTGTGTGCGACTCTAGCTGCAGGGGTTGTCAACCGCCCTTGACAATAACCCTGCTGCTGCTTCACGCGAGAGTCAACGCTCGCCATACCATTGCACCCATTGTCTGCTACTCAAGGACGCCATCAATCACACAATAAAAGCACGCGGCGGCTTATTCGTGTTGGCTCAACTCGCAAATTTCGCAAATTTTGTAGCGTGGAATTGCCGTACTCGGTATTTTTCTCACGCGCAGCTCCGGTTGAGAAAAGAATCACTGTTCCAAGAGTCAATAAAACATAAAAATTGATCACTTGTTGTGGTTCGCCAAATAATAGGTGCTTTTATCCGCATACACTTGCATCAGTGCCAGAAATGAACAATTTAATTTTTCTTCAACATTTTATAAGGAGATCTTACAATTTTGAACAATTTTAACTGAAAATCAGTTAAAGATTCTACTAAATTATTATATTTTTTTTTATAAATTTTAAACAAATATTTAAAAGTGAGAAGAAAAAAAAATTGCTAAATTTTTAGATTTTTTCATATTTTGTTTCATTACCAATAATAATAAATTGTCAATGCATAGCTTATGAAGCACGTGCGTCTTCCGCTGGTTGCGCGTGAATTTTTGACGACGGCCGTCGACTCGGAGCCGCTGGTGCGAAGGGACACCGAGTGCCGCGAGCTGCTGTTGGAGGCGATGAAGTACCACCTCTTGCCGGAGCAACGAGCCTCCTTGTCGTCGAGTCGCACGCAGCACCGAAAGCCGGACGGGGCCAGGCCGTATCTGTTCGCGGTCGGCGGCGGCAGCCTCTTCGCCATTCACAGCGAGTGCGAGTGTTACAATCCGCGGACTGATCGATGGATGCCCATCGCGCCCATGCTCTACCGACGCAGCAGAAGTGGAGTGACGGCCCTCGGCAGGCTCCTCTACGTCGTTGGAGGGTGAGAATTAAAAATACTATACCCTACTCGCAATTAATTAGAATATTAAAATTAAATTAGGCTGTAAATTTTCTTTGCTTTTTACTTAATAAATTTTGATGCTTTAGAAATAGATTTAAAATCGGTTGAAAAGTTACTATTCATTCAATGAATTACATAAAAAAAGTATATATATACTAATTTTAATTAATTTCTTATAAATATGATTTATTTTGCCATCACTAATATTTAACAAATTATATTTAAAAACATAATCTACATATTTTTAAGGTACGATGGGGCAACAGACTTGGCCACCGTCGAGAGCTACAACCCCAGTCTCAACAAGTGGACTTCGGTCACTCCGATGGGAACAAAAAGAAGCTGCTTGGGTGAGATTAAAATTATAATTAATCTTACTTTGGAGCAAAATAAATTATCTTTGAAAAACAAATCCACAGGGATTTGCAGCTTGGACGGATTGCTGTACGTGTGCGGGGGCTACGACGGCGCCTCCTGCCTCAGCAGCATGGAGAGGTACGACCCCCTGACCGGGGTGTGGAGTTCGTGTCCGGCCATGGCGACGAGGCGGCGCTACTGCAGGGTGTCCGCGCTTGGTAAATTTAATTTAATAAATCCAAATTATTTAAATCTGACCCTGAAATAATTCAGACAAGTGCATCTACTCGCTGGGCGGCTTCGACTCGAGCAACTACCAGTCCAGCGTGGAGAGGTTTGACCCGAGAGTGGGTCGTTGGGCCCCGTTGCCCTCGATGAGCAGTCGCCGGAGCAGCTGCGGGGTGGCCGCGCTCGAGGGCAACTTGTACTGCGTGGGCGGCAACGACGGGACAATGTGCATGGCCAGCGCCGAGAGATACAATCCGAGGAGAAACGCTTGGGAGCCTGTTGCCGGAATGCACTCGAGAAGGTGCAAAAATTTTTAATCTTAAAAATTTTATTTATTTATTTATTCTTTTAATTGCAGATCAACTCATGAAGTGGTGGAAATCGACGGGTACCTGTACGCTCTCGGGGGCAACGACGGAAGCTCGAGTCTCAACTCGGTGGAGAGATACGAGCCGCGGCTCAACAAGTGGACCATTGTTACTTCCATGCTGACCAGACGGTCGAGTGTCGGGGCCGGAGTGCTCGACTGCAGCAACCTCGAAAAAATCCTCACAGGGTCTTCAACGAAAAGCGCTGTTTAACTAACACTTTACCTCACAAATCGTGGGCCCAGTTTAAACAAGTGAATATATTGTACTAAAATCAGTCTAGCACTGCCAATTTAACACGCAATGAGATCTCACACGTGCCACGATTGTGTGACATATTTTGGCATTAAAGCCGCCAATTCTCATTCGATATATCAAACGAAATTTCAACGTTTCAGTTGTTAATTTAGAAAATTTATTGCCGAGTGTTAGCGTAATAAGTTTTAATATCGGGAGGAGAATGCTTTGTGATGAAGTGGAAAAATGGTATTGGCTGTGACACCGGGACATGAGATTGGGAAGTTATTAACAAAAGCATGTAGTTGATTCTGTTCAATATTAAAATGGTAATAAATTCTATGAAATTTCTGTCACCAATAGGGGAAGGAATTCTCTTAAAGTAAGACTCTCGATGCCAGAATTACAATAATTTAAAGTAATGCGTGACGTCAAACTAGAAGAATGTGTTTCTGTCTATTAGTGATTGTGATCAATGTGTTATTAGCTGTAAGTTTTTTTTTTTAAATTATTTGATCTTTAAATTAATTTTCCTGCTAATAAGATAAACAGCATCTCATAAATTACATAAATATTTATTATGATTCTTGTATTAAGAAGTAATTAAGCCTATGCAATAGTCATGAAATATTATTAATCTCATTTAATGCAATTATAAGTTGTAAATCATGTTCCGACAAATCTCAAGGAACAGCCGAACTGAGATTGGAATTTTTGAAAGGCTTGTAAGACCGCCAGGCTTTTGCCAACACTACTTATAGGCCTGCGTGGGCTGCGTGCAGCCACAGCTATAAATTTGTCAAAGAATCTAATTCCGCTTTTGAACTTATTCATTTGGGACCATAATTTGCACACACACTACTTAAGCGCCTTCTAATGTTCTCTACTCATCGTAATACTCAAGAACTTTTGCCGTTTACCAGATTTTATTCAAAATTTGGGAAATGGAGTTTCGCACAAAATTCATAAAAGCTGCTGATTATATTGTCAAACAAGAATAATTGCAGAATGTTTCGATCCAGCTTCAATTTCCACTTTCGAGATAAGGTAACTTTTGTGGCCATTTAGCAGACTTTTAACTTATTTATATCTTCAGTTCACCTACTGGCATTTTCGAAGTAATACAATAAAGCTAATTATCTTTAGACTCCTGTTGGATCTTCAACGGATGACTTCCTGTAAAAACAGAGACTTTAGGCAAATGCATTGTGTCCCTTTAGCTGAGAGAAGTAGCAAAAATGTAGCCCCCAAAACAAATTCATGTTTACTTTTAAGCGAGAACAGATGTGAATATCAAAGGAAAATCAATAAAAATGAAAGAACGAATCCCCGACTGACTTTAAATAGCATGCTTTGTACCTAGAACTAATTATTAGCCACGCTGCGAGCGGTTTGTTCACTTATCTGTCCTAAAGACAAGCTCCGATTATTTGCCTTGCCATCTACAAAAGAGAATCTTGATGTAAAATCCATATTGTGCTGGTAATTCAATCAACTCAAAAGGAACACAAAACTGCTTTTATCAACAGGAGGATTTATTGATGATTACACATGACGATGGAGGGGGTATTTTCAATACTACTAGAAAATACCTCACTAGAACCCCAATTAAATTCAGCACACTTAAAAGGGCAAAAATAATTCAGTATATGCCTTGGTCTAAGTGTGATGATTAGCTCCCAGAAAAAAAACTATCAATCGTGACTTGAATTTTGTACAAAATAAAGAAATATAAGAATTAAACTATTTCTTCTTGCCTATGAGCTTCTCCGAAGCTTCGTCGAATGACGGATCGCAAAGGTTCAGCATCAGGTTGCTGCCCTGCAGATAAACCTTGTTCTGCGACTGGGCAATCTGTTGAAAGATTACACAAAATTTAGAATCCAAAAAGTTAAAATTTTTTTTACCGTTCTGGCAATGGCTTGGGACGCTCGGATCTTCCTCAGCTTCAAGTAACCAGGATTGGTGGAAATTGCCTCACCCAAGTAAGCAAAAGTTAAGGAAAATTCTTGATAAAATTGAATAAAATTTGTCACATGTTAACACCTCAGATTACTAAAGAAATATCACGAGGCCACTTCGACCCCAGTCCAGTAAAGCGTTTGCCAATTAAACCCGGGATTCCCCCCAATTTGTGTCCGCCTTGTTGGAATGAAAACTCGACCGCATGACTGCAGCAGCCAAATTAATTGAAACTGACTTTGGGTCAAGGCTTTTGTTTTTACTGTCCTGCTGGGTTTACAGAGAAGGCACTTTGCTGACGGCCAACTCCAAGATTACAACAGGAAGGCTTCAACCTTACGGAGTCACGGACTAGGGTTTCGGTGCCCTATTCATATTGATTCATCATCATCGGTTATAGAAATAAAATTGTCGAATTTTTGCTAGAAAAGGATATCAGTTTGGCCGCGTCGGCTTCACCCTCGGCCTGGACAATCTTCTGTTGCTTCTCCTGAATCGCCCTGTCCACGACGAAAGCTGCCCTTTGGGCCTCCTGCTGCGCCACCTGCTTGGCCTCAACGGCCTGTGTGTATTCCTTTCCAAAACTGAGCTCAGTAATGGACACGTCGTCCAGGATGATGTTGAAGTCTCTCGCTCTTTCGGTCAGTTCTCGCCTCACAAGCAAAGACACCTAAATTACAAAATTAGATTTTTTATAAAAAAAAATTTTGTGCAAAAGCAAACCTGCTGACGCTGTGTAATGAGCTGAGAGGCATTGAATTTGGCGACCACGCTTTTGAGAACCTCGTTGCAAATTGAGGGCAGGACCTTCTCGTCGTAGTCGAGGCCCAATTGACGGTACATTGAGGGAAGGGAGATGGAATCTGGCCTGGACAAAACTCGCAGCGAAATGTTCACCATTTGCAAATCTTTGCTGCCAGTCGGGGAGGAAATCTTTCTCGGTCTCGATCTTAGAATGAAATTTTCCATAAATAAATGACTAAAAATAGAGATTTCAACAAATTACCTGATGTCGTAAATAATGGGATACTGGAACCAGGGAATTCTGAAATGCATGCCCTCCGCGAAGACGTCGTTTTGGACGCCGCCAATCCTGCTGAAGATGATGGCTCTGTGACCGCCCTCAACTGAAATGATTGGAAAAAATGTTACATAATCTGATTATGGATGGAAAATTTCGGGCCGAACCTGTGAAAACTGACTGGCTTGCTCCGTAGGCACCGGCAGCAAAGAGGCCCAGCACTTTGAGGCCCGTTCCCAGTCCCTTGGGCCCACCTTTGCCCAGTTTTCCGGCAAGATCGTTCAGCTTGCTTTGCGCCATTGCCGACTATGCCTAGGATAAATGCAGGGATGAAGGAAAAATGCCGAAAAAACTGACGCAATACTCGTCGATCGCCGAACACGCCGGAATCGAATATGATTTTCAGCCAGTTAATGATTTTTTTCATTCATTACCGGTTATTTTCTTGAAATTCTCACCGCTCATAGAAAATAGCCAGTTTTTTCAATTTGTAATACCGGTTTTTTAAAGCTTTTAATAACCGGTTTTTATGAATTTCAAACAATGACTGATGATTTTTGTTTTGAGCGCGACACCCAGCCGATTTTTCAATTTTGGAGGGTGGAATGAAATCAAAACAATTGTTGTCGCTATCTGCGCAATTGTTGTGACCACAATTCTCAGTTGCCGAGTTGGAATTTCAACGGTCTCGCGAATTCTGAAGCTTTGCAGTTTGAATCTTTTGGAAATTCTGAAAACATGGCCAAGAACAAGTGGACGTGGTTCAAGGAGATCAAAAGCCCGCAAGATTTGCAGCCAAAACAACTGGAGGATGCTTACTGCATCAAGAACCAGGCCTGCTCGAAAGGGTGAGAATTTTTCATCATGAGACGAGACGAGCGTGATTTTTTATTGTGAATTCGCAGCAAGCATCGGCCCTGCAAGAACAACCCTCGCTGCGTGGTGACCATCATCGACAAGTTCTGGTCGGCCGAAGAACCGCCGGCCAGCAATTCCGAGGGCATGCTCAAGTACGACCTACCTTACGCCTTTGCAGGACTCAAGAACTACGGTGCTCTGTGCTACTGCAACGTCTTTCTCCAGCTCTGGTACCACAACCGCCTCTTCAGGTGAATTTGAATTTTGAATTAAAACATGACATGATTTATGTAATAATGAATTAACAATATTGTAGCAATTTTTACAATGTTTTTTTTTTGCAATCTGCAGAGATGCTATTTACAAGTGGCATCCTGTGACTGACGGAGACATGGACCCAGAAGTTTTTCAGGCGACAGAGACGTACTTGCCCGAAGCGAATTCCATCATCGGACAGCTCCAGTTGATCATTGCTGAGATGGAGTTTGGCAATGCAAAGTAAAAACCAATACGTTAATTGTAAAAATTGATTCTTTATTGATTTTTTTTTTTTTTTTTTAATTTTAGAGTCGTAGACCCTTTGAAGCTGGTCGAAGCGCTCAGCCTGAATCAGAACGCGCACCAGGACCCTCAGGAGTTTGCCACTTTGTTCCTCAACATTGAGCAGTACATGGTGGAAAACATCTGTAAAAAGATCTTCATGACCGAGTGCAACTCTGTCATAGAGTATATATAATTTATTGAATGGAATCAAATTTTAAATCTAAAATTAAAAAATCTTAAAATAGGTGCAATGAGTGTGGAACTGCAAGGACCACACCGAATTCGATGCTCAACTTCCAGCTGCCGTTGACGTCCAAGAAGCAGACCGTCCAAGAAATCATCAAATCCACCATGGATGGAGAGAAAATGGACGAGGAGAATCAGTACTTCTGCGGAGTTTGCCTAAAGAAATGTGACGCCGTCAAGAAATTGGAATTCACCAAGTTGCCTCCAACGTTTGTGATCCAAGTGCTACGTTCCGAGTACAACAGGTTGGAAATAAAATTCATGATTTAAACGGATTGTCTTAAAATTAATTCATCTTTAGAGAAAAGAACAGGATCACGAAGCTCAAAACCTTTTTGGAAATCAACCAGGAAATTGATTTGTCCCCGTTTTCCTCCGAAACGGCCGACAGCACCAACGCCAAGAAGTACAAACTGAGTGCAGTTGTCGTCCACTTGGGGGAGGAAGTGTCCGGTGGCCATTACATCAGTATGAATTTGAGGGCTGCAAATTTTGTCTTTAATCTACTTGAACCTTTTTCTAGTCAACGTCAAAGATGCAGACAAGGGCAAGTGGTACTCGTTCAATGACTCCAGCATAGAGCCTATGCACAAATTGTGCTTGGGTAATCTCTCTCATTTTGTTTTCTTGTGTGAAATACTGATTGTTTTTTAGTTGAAGGAGGCAAAACTGGCAAAATCAGCAAAGTCCATCCGGATTCGCTGCTGTCCAACTGTGCCTACATGATTGTGTACGACTCGGTGGACCAGCCAGAGGTCGTCCCCACCCTGCCACCTTGGCTTGAGATGCACATCAGCACCCAGAATGCTATATTACAAACTGAGGAGGGAGATAAGCAGACTGATGAGGTGTGGCAAATTATTTTAAATGGATTTCCTCGACTGAGTCGCGATTTCATTGCAGAACATGAAAAACGAGTTGTGGCAGTTCAACAAAGAGTACTTCTCGGAAATCTTGGAGCACATTGTTCCCAAGAATGAAACTGGGGAGTTTTTACCTTTGTCGTGGGTCACCGCGTGGGCTGAAAACCCCCAAATGGATGACGTCATTGAAAATGAGAGTTTCTTGTGTCCTCACAAAAAGTTGGCCTACAACAAAGTGTCGGAAACGAGGTTGGTCAGCAACGATGTGGTGAGTTCTCTTTACATTTTATTTTCAATTCAAGTATGGAAATTGTTTCCAAGGCTGACACGTTATTTGAGAAATACAAAGGAGGACCCCGGCTTGCCCTGCCACAAAGTCTGTGCAGCGAGTGCATCGCAATTCGCTGCAACCTGCTGCAGCTGCAAGAGGCTGTGGACAAAGACTCGAAACTGGTGACACAGGAAATGAAGGCTCTGAAAGGATCAGAGTAAGAAAGATTGGACCTGATTGGAAATATCGTTAAATCTTTGATTCAGGTCTGAGGATAGCTACTGGGTGAGCAAGGCCACCTTTGGAAGGTGGCGCACCCTGGCCAAACAAAGGATTGAAAACCAGCTGGCCGAGTCGGGAGAGCAAAATTCGGAGCAAGAGGATGAGCCCATGGAAGACAAAGCCTCAGAGGTATTAAACAGAAAATAAATTAACTGGTTCATCAATTATATATAAAAAAAACCTGCAGTCCCCTGAAGGAGGCAAAGAGTGCATCACCAATGGTGTCAGCGACTCGGAACCTTCCGAACCCAAAAGGCCGAGGCTCTCATCCGAGACTTCTGCAGAGGAAAAGGAACCTGCTGCCGAGGAGGAGCACAAGAAAAACGGCCACACTTCACCGTTTGACATGAAGGAGTTCATTCTGAACAGTGACCTGGTGTGCGAGCACGGTGAGTACAAAAACCAAATTTGAATTATATCATTTTATTTATTACGTTTTTATCTGTATGCATCATTCAAATTGCAATCGAAATCGTCCCATTCCAACCAAATGGCACAATTCATGAAATTGGGGCTATTCCCAAACGTTTCTTCTGATAATAATAATAACGCAAGAAGTGGTAAATTCACACATTCGGAAGATCACACTGGCTGATCAAGTTTAAAATATATCTACAGTTTCTGCGGATAGAGTATAAAATCTATCAATTTGACTTATTCTGTCTGAAATCATTACAAAAATCAACAGTTTTAGTATTCAATACTTTCCAATTCATTAACAACAACTTTCTTTTAATTCATTCGGGAGACCATTTTGAAAATGGCAATTTAGTCTTGCGGCGGTCAAATTTGCGAAATGGTCACGTTGATTCCAAGATTGCCGTGGTCGGCGAACAACTTGGCAATGCTCGGGTCAAAGATGAGGCAGTCGGAGCCGTTGATCGCGGCCGCCACGCCCTCGTGGATGGACCGCGGCGAAGCTTCGTACGTAAGCTTCCTCTTGTTGCTTCCGTTGAGCTCCAACTTGTAGGCAAAGTTTTTCGCCTCCTTGGGAGATCCGATGATTTGCACCACAGCAAAGAATTGGGGGTGCCCTTCGTACTTTTCCTGCTTTTCCAGGATCAGCATGAAGTTGTGGCCGTAGCAGGTCTGCATCATCACCCAATCCACGGCACCTGCGAAATCGAAATTTGAATTTGGACCAAAAGAAATTGTATAAATGAATTCACCTGGCAGGTTGATGTCGGTGGCCAGGAAGACGATGTCCTCGCCGGTCAGGTTGGTTATGGACTTGTGTGCGGACAGCAGGTGGGGCATGACCTGCTCCAAGGGCCCCTGCCACTTGCAAGAGGCGCCCGGACAGGGGCACGAGTACGGCCGGAACTGGCACTGCTCCTCGTGCTCGGTCTTCTCGGCGCACGTCAGGGTCAGGGCGCAGCCGCTCGAGTTGTACTTGCACGTGAACTTGAGGGTGTTGGCCACCTGCTCCATGGCCAGGTTGCGGATGTTGCCGAGCGGGCCGCGGCACGTCGGACAGCAGTTGAGCTTGGGCCGGCAGCTCGAGCACACCAGGTGGCCGCTCTGGCACTGCAGAATGGGCGGAAGCACGTAGTCGAAGCACACGGGGCACTCGAGCAGACTGGCCAGGTCGGTGCAGGTCGCGTCCAGCGAGGACATCTTGTTTCTCTTGTGGGCACAGGAGGAGCTGTGGTGGTACGGGCCGGGTCGTTTTTTCATGAAGGTCGAGTGCGAAAAGGCTGCAATAATTGAGTTTCAATAAATCATCATAAATTTCACTAGGATTAAAATATTGCGCAACCCTCTTTTTTTTGGTTGAATTTTTTGTAATCTTTACCTGACTGAAGTTGACGCCACTCGCTCTCATACGACCGGCCGTGACTTTTCGGTCCACCAAAGGCAGCAACAGGACATTCAGGGCGCAAAGTTATGGTTGGTAGAAAGTTGCTGGTGCGACGACATCTGGGCCTTTTTTCGCTGACATGACTTGACCTCGTTCGCGGGCCTACTCGATCCGAATCATTAGAAAATCGTCTGAAAAGCACAATCACAATTACTATGCCGAAGGAGGACCTGAATCGGTGCAATATTTACCTCTGCAGACGCCAATCTTGGAATCTCACTCCACCATTTTACATGCAAACAACGTCTCGCTGCCGTAATTTCATAATAATTAACGCGAATCCGTGTATCGCGTTGCAAGCATCGAATGCAATACTTGGCCAACACGTCACGACAAGCGCACTCGGAACAAGTTGAAACAAGTCGAACGATCGATATGACTCTCCCAAAATAGTTTTATCGATAGTAAACAGCTGCGCGGCGGGTCGAAGTCGTCGTGCTTGGCTGCCAGCGTTGCTAAATGTTACAGCCCCAACGCGAAAATGGGCCGCGCTTCACTTTTGATCCCACTTCATATTTAAAACATCAATTTAATTTCTGAACGTTAGAAATTAATGAACTGAATCATTTCTAATATTAAATAATATTTTCCAATTGTGATAATTTTTTTACATTGCTCGATTTTATTATAATAATGTTGGTTATTTTGAAGTTCAAAAGTAATTTTTCTTTTAAAGTTAAAACTTTTGAAACCATATTTCTCCATTACTGAATTTAAGGTATTAAAATCTTATTACTTTCAATTTTTCCTATTATTATGTTACTTCTGATGTGCAACAGAAATTAAACGTCAGATCAACATTATCAAAATCTAATTACCTCATAATCGTAATAAGCAAAAAAATGTAATTATTGGAAATTTATTTGCACAAAATTTCCATACGGTGCTTAACAAAAAGCTCAGGAGTTCACGTTTCTCACATAGATGGCATCAAACGCAAGTGGCGGGAAGAAATCACATTGAGTCATTTCAAATTATAAGAAATTTGCAACGCATAAAACTATTTTTATTTTTACAGATGAATCCCCAAAGGATAATTTCACAATAATAATAAAATAATTATAATATCTAAATAGATAATTACTTTTTCGGTCATTCTCATTTATGCGTATTTGTTTGGATTTTTCTTTTCTATAATTTTGATGAATTTGTGCTTACAGGAGCATTGTCCACAAATGAGAGCTTGCGGCGATTGGTGCCGAAAGTGGTTTGGAACACTCTGAAGCTGTATTTCCCCAACTCCCTGGAGTTCCCTCTGCAAACTGAGACCTGCGAGACATGCCAGGTGTGTATTGAGATGTTAATTTATGCAAATAATAAAAAAATAAATGTTGTCATTTTGACAGGACCACGACTTGAAGGACAGCGTCAAGCTGGAGGAAAGAGTGGAATTTGCCAAAAAGCTGAAGGATTCGTTGCCGGCGCTGATCGCCTTCCCGAACACCAAAACCAGCAGCAACAAGCACGTGAGGTTCGAGACGCCCTCGATGCGGCCCAAGACGCTCTACGTCGTCAACTTTGATTTCGTCCAGAAGCTGAGCAGATTCGTTAAGTAAGTACGGCGTGAATGGTAATTAAGTGGGCACTGGTTTTTCTTCTCGGAATAGCCGATGCTATCGCAACGTGCAAGTGCTTATTTATTAATTAACACCAAAGCGCGCAGCAGCGTTTGATATCGCAGATCTGCGCTTGTGGGTGGACTAAAAATATACAGAGACGGCGGCGGCGCCAGGTGTGATACCATCGGCTCGCTGCCTTAATTAAACTGCAACCGCAATTTCCGATACAATTGCTATTGTTTCAATTTTATTTAATACATTTTTTAAACTACAAATAAGTTTAAAATTATCACTGAGAGAGGCATCAAGTATTTAAATTTTAATTATTCAAAAAGAAAAAAAAATATAAATGTGCCGGCGTCTTTTTAATCTCAAAATAGAATACATGAAGCTTTTGGTGCGTTTTTGACTTAATTAAATGCCTAGTGGGTAATCAGATAAGTCAAAGGCATTCTTTTAGGCTGAGACTGAGAGACCATATCTATGTCTGCGTGGAATTATTTATTCGGCGACCCCCGATGCCTCGAGCAGATTGTCTCGTCTGCTTAGTCCGTCTCGGAATAATTTCCCTAAGCGTCCGTCGCTCGGTTTATTTTGCTTCCTGCCCCTTGCTTGCGCACACTTGGCATTACATAAATTGATATTCCGACATTATCACAAGTTGCGGCCGAGATGGGAATCGCGCAGCTCGTAATGTCCTCTCAGTATGCCCAGCGTAATATTGGGCCATTTGTCTTTGGAACGTGAGTTATGAATTTACTGACCACATTCAGCAATAAAGAATGTTCAGAGATTTATTGCGCCGAGTGGTCGCTGCTCGGCCGGCCGGCCAGATTTTGCTCCAACTGTTACCAAATTTAACACGGAATCGCACAAACTCGATGAAAATTGTAACGAAAATAGAGTTTTAGCAAATAATTTAAATTATAATTTCAATCAAACAAATACAATTGTTGTGGCAAAAGTGGGCGTGATTTAAAAGTGGTCAGCGTCGGTTTTAATATTTAAGCAAAGAGTCGCAAAGCTAAAAGGCCGCTCGGCTTGACTGGAACAATAAATAAAGGGCGAACGCGGCGCTGTCGTCTGGCTGGACCACATATAGTGGGGGTGACAGTGTGCGCGAGGGTGATACATGGTCTCCACCCTCTCCTTCAAGACGTCGTCGTCATGAATTATTGCGCCCCACACCCACCCCCAGCGGAGAACATAAATCATTAAACCCGGCCCGCTTTCCCTGTGAGACGCTTTTCCACTCGCGCGCAATATTTTCCCTACGCGATTTTTGCCCTTTAACTGCGAATTGATATTCGGCGCGAGCTCGTTTGCATTTAACCCCAGCCGCTCGCAGCAAGCGAAACGCCCCGAAAACATCTTGCACAATCCATCCTGACGTGCCAATAATTTGTTACGTTTCCGCTCGATCGAGTGAAATTTATAAGTGATGAAAAGCGATATTGACTTTATTTATTCAACGAAATAAAAGTATTGAAACTCACGCGTCTGATATTAATATATCAAAATAAAAGTATATTTTTATAATTAATTGATTTAAAAAAAAAATAAGTAGCTCTGCCTTGAAATCAACATTTTCAATCAAGGATTGCACTAAACAAATTGATAAAAGCTACAAGACCAACTTTTGAAAGATGTTCCTTATGAGCAAATTGTGACTGTTTTTGATAAAGTCAATAATTAAAAACAGCTCTCGGCGATCCGCGAGGAGACGGTGCAGCGACAAAAAGTTTGTAATCGCAGCTTGCATTTCGTCTCCTCGCGGCAGCACATGTGGCACCAACTGCAGCGCTTTGACGGAGCGATTAAAAGCACATTTATTAAAGTCATGTCAAAGTCTCTTGTGTGCTGGAAAGCGTAATTTGATCTGTCTCAGAAATATATTTTGAAAAGAGGCAGATCAAGTGCGTTTTTGTTGTGTTTCTAATTAGAAATGCATCACAACCGCATAATTTGCCGGCCTTTGATCGCGCGGCCAGTTTCAAGCTGCTTTGCTCTCTTTCTTCCCCTCGCCAACTCAAAACGACTTTTTGAAAGTGTGCGGGGGTTGAAAAGCTATTCAAGTTTTTTTGTGCCTGACGTAAAATTTTAACATTTAATTAAGGAAATTTGCTGTTTAAGTGTAAATTTTTAAACTTTTTTATTTAAATAGAATTTCAAAAGCGCCTAATTTTTTTAGACATCATTTTTTTAAATCTTGCTTCGAAACTCATCAATAAAGACAAAATTTTTATTAAAATGACCCCAATGAAAAAGTTCACGTCCATATAAAGAGATCCCATTTTTTTTAATTCTCTGTAATTCTAATTGTAAGACATTTTGTTTTTAATTATCTAAATTTTGCAAAGAACTCGCCCAATATTTTTGTAAATTCAAACACTGGTGTAAAAAACACAGAACATCTTTTGGCTATCTCAGATTTTTGTCAGGTTGCCTATTTTCAAAAGGCTTGACATTTTGACCTTTTGCCAGGGTAAATGAAATTTGAAAAATCTAACCCCAAATTAATTTGACTGCAGTTTTTTTATACCCTTATTAACCTCTAATAGTGAAATTTGAAAAGAAACAAAAATATTTATTTTGGTATTTTAAGAACCAAAATATGAGCTTTTTTTTTTTTTTTGCAGAAATCGATGAATTCAAAGTGCTTAAAAATTTGCGGAATTTTTTAAGAAAGTGTGAAAATGTTATTTTTTTAATTTGCATTTACATTATATAATTCTCAAAATTTTTCTCGCCGACTCCCAATTTCTGACTACCAAAATGATCCATTCTCACGGTTCTAAATTTAATGATTTTGCGATCCTGAGCTGTTAAAATCCTCTTTACGGTCCAAACGTTACTCAGCCTCCGCAGTTATGATAAGTAGCATTTTGATTTGAAAAATTTTGCGGACGTCGGTGCAGTGTTTGACCTGAGCGAGGACACGGCTGAGCGATGCCGCGGCAGTTTGTTTTGCGGCGACCGCAAGCTGCCCACTTTTTGCGTCTCTCTCGCGTTTTTTGCCTGCCGCGAGTGCCGTTCGCCGTTGATCACAGGTAGCTCCTCGCTCTGGTCACGTGCATGTAATTGCGCGGACGGACGGACATTGGCGTGAGCGGCGATGCGGAAACTCGATCAAACTGCAGCTCCCCGTGACCAAAGCGAGATGGACCCACCCCCACTTAATACGTGACTTGTGCGCCGGATATCGCCACTTATAAACTCTTAGACTGCGCTTTTTTGTGCTTTCATTCTGAATCACCGCGACCATTCATGCGTCGCCCTCTGAACGAAATTTGAAATGTGTTTTCGGTGCGGTTTTATAAACAAACAAATTTGCCACCGATCGACGTTCCACCCTGTTTTTTGTTTGGAATTTATTACGCTTGGCCGTGGAAGACCCGAGGCTGTTTCCCATATTATAATGTCGGCGATACTAAATTAGCCAAGAAGCTTCTTGAATTATTTCTGCTCATCTATATACTTAGCTGATTGTTGCGGATTACGAGTCCACGGTCTTAGCAAGATGAAATAAAATGATTAGTTCCAAATAATGTGGGGGCAATATTTAAAAAAAAAATGTTATTGCTGCTGAAAACTTGAGTCATATTCAAATTAGCATTTAATTTCAGAAAAATAATCAAAATTTGAGCCAATTTGAGCATTGTTGGAAGCAACTTTGTTTTATGAAATCTACATTTGAGATTAATGCTCCAATTTTACTGCCCGCGGCTGAAAAATCCTCCTCAATCTCGTTTATTTTTCGAAAGAAACAAAAAGCAAAGCAATCTCTGCTGAGCAACCGCAGCAGCGAATATAAATTCTCTGCGCAAAACACGAATCCCGCGTCTCTCGAGCTTGTAATCGCGCTTGTCCCGTTTATTTTATTTTCTCCTGGGCCTGCAGATTACCATCCACATCATGTAGGACAAACAAGATCTAAGCATTTCGCATGCAAGAGAGAAATGACATGGTGTAATCTTATGCACACACACACGACACACCCCATCCCCCGAGTGGTCGCCGGTCATCGTTGTTGGCTTGTTTTTATTTCCTTCAGACGATGTTAAAAGGGTTAACATGCCACGCATGTGTCACGAGAAAGAGTAAATCCCTGCAAAGCGTCCCTTTGCGCGTAATTGAGTGACGGTCGCGGCTCCAAGGAGCAATAATTAAAATGCGCCGGACGCAGCAAAACAAATAAACCCGAGCAGCAGCAACCGACTAATATACGTGTTTTCTCAATTACTTCACTCATGTTTGCCAAGCACGCTTGGATGCAGCGATCTGCGTGTTTAATTCAATGTTGCTTTCTCCCCCTTTCCAGCTGCCCCAGCTCGCGAGATGAAATCATTTCCACTTTTATAAAGAGATGCGATGCGTCCAAGAAATACGAGATTATTTCAAAATGTTACAAATAAATTAATTTATTAATAAAAATATTAAAAATGAAATCAACCGTTGAATTTTTAAACCTAATTTATATCTAAATTTGTGACGATTTTATCAATATTTTAGCAGACGTTCGCCCCAAGCTTGAGACGATCCCCTTTGCTAATTCATCTTTAGCCAGGCTAATTTTCACCTCATTAAAGGCGCTGCCAGGGGTCACGTGTCATCATCATTCTCGCAGCGATTCTCTCTCTCTCTTGCTCGTTCTCTGTCGGCGCAATAGATATATATTTGAACATGATGGCAATAATAATATTTCCCGCTACTTTTCGGCGGCTATAATGTAGCTTTAGGGCGGCTGGCGCGCACTTAGGGTGGCGCCTGGCAAGCTATGCATCCCTCCTCGCCTCTAATGACTCGTCTCCGGCGGGCGCTGGCAGTGACGGATGAGCTACACGTCCCGCGAGGAAACGGCAACATTTTTTTCCCCATAACTCGCTCCCGAATAAAATACCAACCCCGCCGCCGTATGTATGCAACCCGCCGAGCTAGCTAGATAGGCTCGCTCTTTTTCTTTTTTGCTGTCGGCACAACACACCGACCGAGCCAAGTAAATTGAGAGATGTTTCGTCTTTATTTCAAGCTGCGGAACAAATGGAGCCACTTTGCGCGAATTTCAATTCAAACTCTTCGATCCGCGGAGTTAATCTGGCGGGAAATTTTAATGACCGAACGAAAGTTGACGCGCGTGACAAACTCGTTTGAAGTTGACAACGTATTTTGAATGCAAGGAAGCGCCAGGGCCGATGCACAGAGGCGACGGACTAGATTAAATAAGCAAGATACACTGCCGACGTCTGTGTTTGATTTATGTTCGCCTCGGCCTTTAAAGAGATGCCAGCTGATATGCTCCTTTTCTTGGCAACTGATGCATTTTCAGCAGAAAAAAAAAACACGAAATAGGGAAAATGGGAAAAGGCGCCGCCTCTGCACAATCACAATAGATGTTCACTCACTTGATATTGTGAGCAGAGAGTTAACAGGTGGGGTTGCCGACCACTAATTTTATTGCGTCAACTATACTTTTCTTAATAATTATTCGATTAATTTTTAAATTTAATTTAATAAATCCAGTTTACTTATTAGATGCAATGCTTTCTACCTTCTATAAAAATCAGGGTTTCTGAGCATGAGCTGCTCGCGAGCAAGATTGAGCAAAATTTTGCTCGCGAGCACCATTGAGCACTCCTTTAGTGAGCATGCTCGCGAGCAGATGCTTGCGAGCACCCCAAAAGGGAGCATGCTCGCGAGCAGATATAGGGGAGCACTCCTGAGGTGAGCAGGAGCAGGAGCAGAAATTAGGGAGCACTTTTTAGAAGTGAGCAGGAGCAGGAGCAAAATTAACTAAAAATGCTCGAGATGCTCCTTCTGCTCACATTTGCTTTAAAAATTTTACTACAATAACAGAATTTCATACTAAATCAATACTGTATACTGTGAGATCAACAAAAACCAGTGGAGGACGCTTTAGAATCGCAATGCATTAATCCCTATGCTCTGACGCTCCGCCTACACCCCTTTCAGCCCTGAGTTCGACCTGCTGCACCTTATGTGCTCCTGGCAAACCTTCAGTCCTCTTGTGTCTTTTCCGCTGTACATAATTTAAAAAGAGCTCAATCTCCTGCTTCATATTTATGTGCTCCTGGCAACAATTCGTCTTTTTAAATAATAATGAAATTATTTTATGGTAATAATTTTATTATTTTAATTATATTAAATTTTTATATGGTCTTAATTTGGTATCAAATTGATGTATTTGAATTTTGCTAAATTATTTCGGCGTAATAAATATTCTTTCAGAGTAAATTAAAAACCTACATGCCGAATTTTCATATCAAACATGAGCATGACACTGCTTGGGAGCATATCGCAGGAGCAAAAATTGCTCGGAGCAGCATTGAGCACTCCTTTAGTGAGCATGCTCACGAGCATCTGCTCGCGAGCACCCCAAGAGGGAGCATGCTCGCGAGCAGATGTAGGTGAGCACTCCTGAGGTGAGCAGGAGCAGGAGCAGAAATTAGGGAGCACTTTAGAAGTGAGCAGGAGCAGGAGCAAATTAATTTGAGCACCCGAAAAATTTTGTGCTCAGAAACCCTGATAAAAATGATTAAAATTAAGTCCCTTGATTAATTTCGGTTTAATTAAAATTGTTGAGAAAGTTCAATTTATTTGAAATTGAAACTACTTCATTTAAAATCCAAATTTATAATTTTCAGTTGAACAAACTCTCCCCCGAGGCAGAGATATGCAACGGGCACGGACTGCCTAACGATCCGAAATTCGTTCTAGCGTAAAATATAAAAATTACGAAAATGTACCGAGCGCGTCACTTTTTGCCGCCGCCGCGATATTATTACGCGTCTGAGGCGTGCATTGTTTTCGCGGTGAATGGCGTGATTAATAGTTTTATACTGTGTGCAATCTCGCCAGGCTCCTCCTTTCTAATGTAAAGTAGCAGAATTATTAATACTGTTGTCATAAGTGCGCGCTTTTTGCCGTGTCGCTTAATTAAGGGAGACGAGTCACTCACAGCATCCTGCCCGTGAAGGGCGCAAGAAACCAGCAGGCAACCCGCATTGATTGATAATTTTGTTGATAACACGCTAACGTTATTTTGCCGCGCACAATCTTTCCAACCCTTTGCTTCATTATTCCGCCTCAGTTATGGATGGAGCAGCGACACGCTAGCTTCATTTAGACAAATAATTCTCCTCTGCAGACTCATCCACCGCAAGAAGCTTTTTGCTCTCGGAACGGAAATTAATTTTACTTGATTGTCAATTTTTTATATTAATTTCATAACGGTTAAATCAAAAAAGATTTTTGTCAATTCAAATATTTGATAAAAGAAAGAATCATTCTATCGTGTTATCCAATCGCGACCGCATTCTGCACCCATAAACACCTTTCAAAAATATGTGGTTTTCCCCAGATTTCTCAAATTTTTGAAAATTTAAAGAGGCTGAATCTCAGCTTCCCGAGGACGTAGAACATAAATACAAGTATGATTTAATTTATCTCGTTGCCCTCTACGACTTTGCTGCCGGAAGCAAAATCGTAGGTCAAAGTTCAAGGTCACTTCCAGTGACCTAGTGACCTTTGACCTCAAAATTGAAGGTTATTCCCCTATATTATTTCATTCCAAGATAACCATTTTGTAGAGAGTGAAATTTTCCATTACATAAGGGTACAAACCTGGTTGGTGTTTTTCTTTATTAAATTAAAACGAAAATAAAAAGATTAAAATATTTTCCCAGCCATTTTTTTTAAACTTCTTTTAGCCTCTCTAACTTTTTTCCTGACCAAGATAGCCTCAAATACCTGATCAAAAAAAAGGAACCGTCTCGGCATGACCCATCTGAAAACGCACCACACGTGGTGACCAGGTCACTTCAGGTCATTGACCCTGGTGACCTCTGAACTTGCACATGATTTTGGCAAGTGTGGTACACGATTCAAAGGAGAATATCAACAGGATCATTTTGGTGCTTGTAAATCTATTGCATCTCTGGCAGAAATATAATTATAACTGTTTTTGTTATAAAATGTGGAAGAAATAATACATTTTGCTAAATAGCAAATTTATTATTATTACAAATTTTGATAAATATACATTCGAAGTTTTCTCCAATTTTTAGAATAACCCTCCTGTAAAGTTTATTCCTCGGTGTAATTCAAAGTGACCATTGACGGAGAGAAAAAAAAATGATGCCATCCAATATCGTTGAGAGACATTAAAAGCATCGGCCTTCCTTTTCCAAACAATCCTCTCGACAATTGCTGCGGAAAATTCCCCCGTCTCCGCGTCCACGTTCTTTTTTTCCATCCCGCGGACTCTGAAAAGGACAAAAAATGTGTTTGATTTGCATATGCGTTTGATACCTTTATTTGCCGCAGTGCAAACTTTTCCTCTGTTTGTAAGGTTTTTTGTTTGAATTATCCCCTGAGGGAACATGATCTGTGCCTGCAGAAAATATTTTTACACGCGCGCCAAGGCCGGTGTCGGCGCGGCGTGTTTATCGCTCTTGTCCACATTTTCCACCCCGAATTTGTCGTGCGCCGCGTATTTTAAATTTACTGCAGAAGGACAAAAAGTCGCGGACGACCAAAAAATACCTTGGAACGTCGGCCCGAATAATAATTTTTATTGTCTGTGTTACGCCGTTTTTTCTTCACCCTCTCTCTTGTCATAATATTTTTAACCCCTTTGTGGCAAAAACGAATTAAAAACGGGCAGGCGCGCCCGCTCTGATAATTTATTATATATTCTGCTGTTTGTTTTAAAACCTGCAAAGATTTTTTTAAATGCAAAAATTTCTCTTGTTTTTGTTTTCAGGAACCCGACCAAAGTTGCCCCGCCGACCGAGATCCAGAACAGCGGTCTGATGTGCAAGCATCAGTTGGTGCACGTCGACCTGGGCATGAACGGCTCCTTCGATGTCATGCCCGACGACAAAAGGTGCGATTTGCATCTCTCAATTTGATGCGTATTTTAAGAGCTCACTCAGCACTTGAGTTATGGGACATTAATCTCCATCATTAGCAGCGCTCGGGAGGGGACAACAGACGTCGCGAGATACGAGCCACATTTGCTATGCACCCTCTTGTGTCCCTATCGATTCCCAATTATGTCTTATTATATTCACTTTAAACTGCTCTCTCTCCGCACAACGGTGAGCGCGTCGTTATGCAGATTTAACACACTCCGCCCTCGCCATTGACAGCCTTTAAAATATCACTTGGCAGCTGCGGCCGCCACTTTTCATTTTTCGCTCTTCTTTTCATCCTTCTCACTTGTTATCCCTCAATTTGTTTTAGGAAATCAATCATTTGGAGTTTCAAATACGTTTTAGTCCTTTTAAAAAGAAGTTTTTTTACCATAATTTTGACTTGTCTGTTTTTCCAGGACATTTTGAATAATTTAAAAAGTGTACAACTCCACAACCACAAATGTTAGAATGGTAAAAATTTCATCTCTACACTCATTTTTCCATGCCAAACAACGTTTCTGCTGGCACTAAAGCTGTAGGTCAAAGGTCAAGGTCACTTAAAAGTGATTTTATGATTTTTTTAGAAAAATGGCCAATTTTGGGATGATGGTTTAATGGTTCCGTTTGATTCTCTTGCAGGTATAGGAAAAAATGTAGCTTGTATAAATTTACATGATATCTGCAATTTTCAGATTAGTTGCATTTTTAGTTTTCACACAAATCGCGTCCAAAGTTTAAAAACAGGTTTAAAAAGCTACCAATTTCACGTGAGGTGAATTCATACATGAGTCGATTTTGTTTATTTTAACATTTCTGAACCCTGAGACCACCAATTGGAGCTGAAATGGTCGTTATTTTGAGAGTGTTTTCATTAATAGTTGGATTTTTTTTTGTCGGTTTTTAGCTACGGACGTGAATTTTGAGGAACCCAAAGTTATAACCATGAAGAACAAATGATGGTTAATAATTTTTTTAAGAGCTTAAAATTTAATGTGAACCTGAAAATGGTTGATTTCCTAAAACAAATTCCCCCTTGGAAATAATTTCAAAATAGGAACCAAAATTAAAATGCTCGATTTATTCTTGCGCCGTCAGTAGTTTAGTTATGTCGTGAATGATTAAGAGAGATCTCACGTGGACTCTGAACGGGCCTAATTATCTGTTACGATCGCAGTTTAGCCGCAAGGGTGAAATTCATCTCTCATTGCGGCCGATGGGGCGCTAATTTAGAAATTCAAGTCATGCGAGAATTGGTTGTTTGCCGTTCACGCTGACCAAGGGATGGTCAACACGCGAGGTCAATTTGGAAAAGGGACGATAACTGCGCCAAGATCAAATGTACCGGAATTCACAGAGAGAGATAAAAGTGTTTTTGCCGAGCCCGGCCTGTACCTAATCGCACGTAATTGCCTCCGAATTCTGCAGCCGTTTTTGCCCTCCTCGTTTGCTCGCTCGCTACAGTCCGAGGCAATTAATAATAAAACGCGCGGCGCTCCTTTCCGAATTGGCGACTCGATTCACTCGGTTTTCTCCAAGAACACACACTTTGACCGCGCCTTTTTGCGCGCCCTTAATTTGATTTGAATGTAATTAATTGCCGCGCGCATGAAGCGATCGCCTTGTTATTTATTTGCTTCGGACTGTACCGCTCTTTTTCCGGCCATTTCTTGCGCTTCTCTGATTAATTGCTTTTGCAAGATCACAAACAAACATTCCGCTGCACTCGGCAGCACAAAAACCGAGAGGAATTTTTCGCTCCCCCACTTTTAATTAAGATTTTATTTGGATCCCTGTGTCGGTTTTATTTGGACGCCGCGGACACAATTATTTTGGCATTGCCCTGTCAATCACCCCGAATATGCAAATTAGTCGTCAGATGTGGCGAGCAAGCTGCTCCGCGCCTGTAATTACGCGCGTATGCAAAATTCAATCAGCTTTGATTTCTGCCGCCGCGTGTTGCCGCCGTTCGATCAATTACAATTCGATCCTGATTTACTGCTCTATTAAAAATTAATAAGGGCATTTCCATGAGCACCCTCAGGGCCATCAGGAACACATGTTTGACAAGTTAAAAGAGAAATTTTTTTTGTTGGAACCCAAAAATTTCAACATTGAAAAACAGTTAAAACGTGTTTAAATCTGCAACTGCAAAGGTGATAAAAATATCATTTCTATACTCAATTTTTTACACCGAACAACTTCTCTGTTCACATCAAAGCTGTAGTTTTTTCCCTTTTATTGAAAAAAAAAACTGAAATAAATTAAAGCTCAAAGTTGTCTCTAAATTTTTAAAATGTCCAAAAAAAGGGGGGAATTGGAAATTTTCAGAATCCATTCCTTTTGAAAACCCCTCAAACATACGTTTTCTGAAAACAAATTCATTTGAGAATAACGCTTTGCTCCTCATTTTGCAGCTTCTGGGTGCTGATCGAGCCCTCCGACTGGGAAGTCTTGATCAAAAACTTTTGCTCCGATTACCTGATTGTGCTGCAATCGACGCACTCGGCCACCGAACCTGACCAAGTCTTTCCAGGTGAGTTTGAAGGTTTGAAAAATTTTGACGCAGCTTCGGAAATTCCCTGCTTTTTGGAGCTGCAAGAATGGTACAAAATAATCTCCGTGCGGCAACTTGAACTCTCCCCGAAACAAAAGTTGGCACGGCAAAAAGCGTAGAGCGAACACAGAACAGAGCCGGCTGACAATCGAGCAGCAAAAAACGCGTCTTCTCTCCGCACCAACTCCGGCTGACGTCACGTGCTGTGCCAAATCTCTCTTTTTGGGGGGCTGCTCGGAATTATTTTCCTTTCGTTGTGTGTCGCAGGAAGTGTACAAACTTTGCCATCTCTGCGACGAGCTGGACACGCAACTTTTATATTCGTAATTTCTTGTGGCACTTCTTTTACGTTCAAACTGCGACAACAACAAAATAAAAAAGAATAAATAGATTTTTTATTTATTTTAAAATTGTTCAAGAATCTACGATATCTACACTGACACATTTTGATGCCGACTGACCTATTGATTTTATTTTTATACCATTTGAACTTGATTTAGTTAAATTCTTATAAATTCTGGTCAGGCCAATTTAAAAAAAACTAATTAAGAATTTGAAAAATTTAGTTTTCCCAATGATTTCTTTGTTTTAATTTAAAATAAACATGAAGGCTGCGTTTGATTACTGACGTGAAATAGAAACTGCCAAGTTTGCCCGTTTTAATCCTTTCCTCCTGTTTTGAGGGTACAAGTGATGTACGATGCGGCCCTGATAGAGGAGTTGCTTTTGTCTGCGGCGACGGAACGTGCGATGGTATCGGCGCCGAGATTAATGCCGGACCGCGGCGGCATTGCTCATACTCTGGGCCGAGTGACAGATTTACGCCACTTATTTGTCAGCAAGGTCCACCGCCGCCGCCCTTCGGTCAAGTCGCTAAGCCACATGCTTAAGCCTGCCGCGCGCAAGGGGAGAAAAGGGAATTTGTAAAGTGTCCGGCCTTTATCTTTTCCGGCTCATTCATTTTAAAACCGACCGTGGCGCGATAAAGCCAAAGCCTGGCCACTCGGCGCCCTGTTTACCCTGATTTCAAAGCAGTCCGCACTTTCACCCCCTGGAAGGATAAATCAGAAAAGGCGGCACTTTGTCCTGTGTAGGTGTAAAGTTGATGCCTTTTATCAGATATGTCGGTATAATTGAGAGAGCGAGTTCTCTTCTCCCGCAGGAGCAGCGGTTTGTCAAGCTCGGCTGAGCGAGCATCTCTCCCGTGCAAATATTTACGCAGTTATGTAATAATATTTTCCCTCTTCGCCCGAGCATAATTTTTAACGCCTCGCTGCGAAAGAGGGTAAAAAACACCCTTGGCGCCGCCGCCGCCGCTGCCACCGAGCCAGATAAATAATAAACAACCTTTCAATTCGCTCGCTGAATAAATAAATATCGCGCGCGCAAAAAGTCCCTTTGATCTTGACGAGATGCGAATTTCACCGCCCAATCAAATCAAATTTCGCTGCTTTTGATTCAGGTGCGAGCACCGGAAATTTCATAAAAAAAAATCTAAATTTTGCATTCGGAGTTTCTTTTAACCGCACAAATCGAATTGCGCGGACGCAAAAAGCGAATTTCCATTTATAGGAGATAAAGTTTGACTTGTTGTGCTAACTGCCCCCGACGCTGCTATCTGCGCGCAGCCACCCTCTTGAGAGCCATATCTTGGAGATTGCCTTTGCTATTGTTCTTTTCACTCTCTTGGCGCGGAGTTCCGAGCCGCCTCCGTCGTCTGTTCATTAACTTTTTTTGTGCATATAAGGGGAACATGAATTTGCCGCCGAGTTTTGGCCGACTGACTTTGTACACCGATTAAATATTGAATTTGTCTCGGAAGAGCAAGGGCGCCTCTTAATGAATTTGAATCGCACGCCTCGACGAGCATCAACAAAAATGTATTAAAAAAAGAAGCGGGCGTTCACGATACTTTACAAATCTTGCGGCGTGAATGAAAACGATCTGAAGCGTATGCCGCGCCGGTTTCGGTGCAAAAAAGTGCGGGTGTGTAAAAATGATAAAATCAATAATATGCGGGGAGCTACTTAAAAAGGAATCGGTGCGTTCAGCTATGCAATAAAGAGGGGGCGGCGAATGTGTTTCTCGGCTCTGATGACATGGATGGCTCAAATGGTCCGTCAATTCCTCGCACTGCAGAGCGAGCGCCGAATATCGTTTTCAATCAATCTCCGTAAATCTCCTCGCCCATCAGAGGCGCGCAAGGAAATTTGCGTCTGCAGTTCCGACGACCTGCAGTGATAAATTTGACCGGAAACTGCCAAGATCCGCAAAAGCAGAACAAGCTGCTCTCGATTTTGGTCGGATCAGTCTTTTTTTAATCGAAACTCTTGACTTAAATTACACAACATATACTTTTTTCAAGATCATTAAATTTATTCCAGGAATAAATTCGTGCCAGTCTGAAATTTGAGACGCAATTTCCAAGTAAGTTTTCACTGCCGTAAATACAAATACCTTTGAAAGGTATTTTATTGTTTGTAGTATTTTTTTCTTTTTCTTTTCCAAACACAAAACCAACGTCAATAGATAGGAAATTTAATTGGCTTTAAAAAACTTACCAAGTTTGCTTAAGTCTGTTAATTTTTGGTGCCATTAAGTTTGATTTTAATGTTGTCAATGTTTTATTGATTTTTCAGCTCAAGCTCTTTTGAAAAACATTGTAGTAAAAAAATGGTTCAAACAAAACTTATAGAAAATTTAATTTTGCACACTTTATGTATTCAACATTTTCTTCTAAATTCAAAAAGTATAAAAGTTATCAATGCGGATGTGTTGAAAAATGAGGTGAACATTAAAATGCCGATTCATATATAAATTTCCTCTCAGCCGTTAAATAGTTTGAACTGAAATTTTTATAATGCCAAAATACTACATTTCAATTAAATGTTTTGTTTTTTAAATATAGATTTTAAATTTTTATAAGGTTGCAAAGGACAAAATGCATTTGATTCCTGGTATAATCCATGAATTAAGTTCGTTTTTATTAATTTTTTTTTAAAATTGCTATTGCAATTTATTGAGAATACAATTGAAATGCAAAGTGCTTGGCCTCAAGAATTTAGTGCAGGACTTGGGAAGTAAATTTCACGCTCGGTGGGCAAATTCCACGTCCTGGCCAGAGACAGCCTCGATTGCATTCCAGGCGAAGAGCCGCTCTCGGCAATTGCGGGAGTGAATTAAATCCTCGTCGGTACACTCGCGACTAAATTACAAGCGTCTTAAATTTTTGCACTAATTTCCAGAGGGAGACTTGGTATGCAGATTAAAGAAGAAGCTTTTCTTATTTCACCCCGCAAGAATGGGGTCCGCGCGCGCGTGTTATTGCCGCTCGTAAATTAACTCGCCCTTCGCCTTCTTTCCGCACCCGCAAGAGGCGTTAATTGCTCCCGCCGAACACACACAAATCTGACTAAAACACTCGGCTTTCGATTCCTCGCTCGCTCGCCGGCCCAAGACAAAAACTCGTATGCGCAATATTCTAATTAATCGCGTCCGGGCATTTTGAAATTAACAATATTTCATCGTTAAGATCAAATTACTACGGAGCGGCCGACCCTTGGCGCACGCTCGAGTTGCAAGGCGTGTAAACAGGGTGTGAAACGCACTCTTTAAGGAGCGTTCCTGCCTCGGACAGCAGTGATAGATGGTTTGCATGTTGGCCGCGCACTTAAAACTGGTCAAACACTTAAAGTGATTTGCTCTCGCTCGCATATTAAAAGCTTTTGTGTAGATGCAAATGCGCGTGATTAAGTTGTTGAAAGAGAAGAGAGAGCAATTTATTACCTCCGTCTTTAGTGCGAGCGGCGGACAACAGCTAGCGTGGGGTCAAAAGTTTAATAATATCGGCTCCAGAATGCTCTCTCCTCCGCCTCAGCCACCAGCACCGGTCTTTCCTCCTTTACGTCTCGTCCTCGTGCTTACGTGTTTCCGAGAGCGCCGCAGAATGGGTGCATTAGATAAATAAATGTCGCCTCGGCCCAGTGCATTAAGAAGGCCATAACTTTCCTTGCTAACTGCGCCTCCACCGCACTTTTCAGCGCTGACCTAATTTCAAAACTTTTTTCTTGAATGTAATGAATTGTATTTGGTCGCTAAATTTCAAGTATACCTTGAAAAACCACAATCTGAAAATTCCAAAAGGAAACCTAATTTGAGTAATTATAGAAAAATATGAGAACTAAGTTGCAGGGGTATTTTTTCGTCAGTTTGGTAAAAAACTTCAGATTTTGGTATTTGGTGGCGCTGCGATCGCACAGCGCCGTGATAAAACTAGTGATCTCTGCGCCACCAGTGACCAAAATCCGAAGTTTTTAGACCAAAATGACGAAATTATCCCATATTTTTGGCGCGAATTCCTTTTCTTGTGAAATGGTTAGGAATCTTCACATAGTGCTTTTTCAATATACTCAAAATTTACCGATCCTTCTGAATAAAGACCAATAAACTTTGATTGTGAATTTTATACAATATTAGAATGAGAAAGAAATTATCTTAGTTTCCATCGCACAGCAGTTCTTTTTTACTTCAGTACCATAAAATAATATTAATAATAGAGAATTGCGCAGCGAAATGAAGATATCGCGCAATAAAAAAAGATTTAATTGCTTCACTTCGGAGTAATTATTATTATGAGAGTAATTTGTTGCTCCTGAGTCGCGATTTTACGTTCTTTTTACTGCGCTCATTATGTATTACGACCCCCGTTGCCCCGTTTAAAGTCGTTCACACGGACGGATCGAGCAAGTCTAGCAGATGCACTGGCAAGGGGGTCGCTAGCTCTGGGCCTTTTTCTCTTGCCTCTCAGCTTAGATTTATCTGCGCACTCCATTTGTATGATTAAACGGCTTCTGCGCGGCCTTGTCTAATAACATTTATTATTGTAATTTCTGCTCGTGCGCGGCTATTTGTTAACTTTTATCTTTTTATCTCCGTATAATTATACAAGTGCAGAGGCACCGCAATAAATTCGCTCAAAAATTTATGCATTCATTCGCGATAAAACGGGCGCTCGAAAACCTTCAATTAATTTGGTGATTTTGGGTGTAGCAATTAGTGCCGAGGTTGCCGCCGCGACCATCAATTAAAGCGATGCGAGTGACCGACCTGCTTTGAATCGGGTTTAATTGGACACGAGTGCGAGTTCTCAACGACAAGTGCGCGCATCAAGCAGGGGATTGTATCGATTCTACGGAAAAGTCGCCATAGATTGCGGCACCCGTAATTACCGAGAGGGAATGTCAAGCTCAGTTCCGCCTTTGACTTGTTTCACTGATGATCTGCAAGAGTCGCAAGGGTGCAGGAAAATAAATAAATTCTTCGAAAGAATTAAGGATCGCCTCTGCGCTTTCTTTCCTCCGGGACTTTGTTTCGTGCGCAAAATAAAATTCATTCTTTTTTAATTCCAATGAAATCCATTGATTTATTAAACCAATAATAAATTTGTTTTAATTTTCTTTGTACTTTGCCGAAACTATAAATTTCCCGTATTTCCTTTTTTTAAATTTCTGGATCATTAGCAATGATACTTTCTCTTTACTCGTCTGTCCGTTTTAATTTAAAACAGAATAATGTTTTGATCCATAAATTTGGTGCGTCTCGCGGAAATTCCGTTTGTTTTAATTCGCTCTCGTGGCTGCAAAGCGTCTGCTTTTCCGCCGGAGAGGGACGAGCTGCAGTGATGATTGCGCGCGTTTTCCGAAGCTCATTTGCATGTAAGTAAAAATGTACACCCTAAGCGCGCTGCACCCCTTAATTACGATACGCGGCGACCAGCCACCCCTCTCATCCCTCTCTCGTCACGATGATGTGTAACTTTGCAGGCCGGTCAGTCCGCCACCGAAAACAATGCGCGCGCCCTCTTAAGACTATTATTGTCCGAGAGGCAGCGACGGATTACGCTAATGGTCATTATAAATTAATTTTGGACGGCGAAGAAAAGGATTAGACGTGGTGAAAAAAGATTCGGCCGTAATGCGCCGGTCATAAATTAATAATGCACGCGCGCTGCAAGATTTATGAGCATGACAAGTTGAATTTGAGGGCTGAAAATCAAAACATAAACAGCTCGGCGGCGATCAGATTAATGCATTGTTGCGACGGCCTCTCTTCTTGGCTCCACTCTAATGAAATGAAAAGCCTGACAAGATACAAATGCAGGCAATTTTTGTAACAGCCCTGCGCGCTGTCACACCATCGCCAATCCACTTAACTTTTTCTCTCTTGTATCGTCGTCTGTGTGTTTTATGTATTTGTGTAAAATTCCATCTTCCATTTCATTTTTTGTTTATTTACAGTTTTCAATTGATCCAGGAATGAAAAGTTTCAATCAGAACAAAATCCAAGCCAGCTGAAATTTTCACCGTCAATTAATTAGCAGGCATTTTTTTTTTATGTAAAAAGGTACGTTTGTAACTTTTTTTGTAGCAATTTTTCTATTCCATGAACAGACTAGAGATTAATTACAATAGATAGGAAATTTAATTAGGTTTCAAAAGCTTCAAAACTTAATTAAATAAGACAATTTTTAGTGCCAAAAATTCAAATATTTGTATCATCGGCCATTTTTCAACATTTCCGCTCTTATAACTTTTGTTGCGTTAGTTTTAGAAGAAAATGAAAATGATAAATACAAAAAGTGTGCGAACTTCAATTTCCTGAAAATTTTGTTTGAAACATTTTTCGAATTTTAATAATCATTTTAATAACAAAAAAACCCATTTTAAAGCAAATTAAATGTGTTTTAACTTGTCATTCTATTAAAAATTTATCATATTTTTATTTGTTACGAAAAAAGTGGAGCAGACAAGTAGAGCAAAAGTGCATGGAAGCGAATCTTGTTAGGAAAATTGGCCGTAAACGTTGTACAGAGAGAGCTGTCTCGTAGTTGTGGCGCTGCCATATCTCATAAACGTCGCGTCTCCTTCTCTCGTCATGACAAGTGACAAAACTTTGTGTCAGCCTTCATTTCTTATAGATACGTACCAAAACCTAATGTGCGTGTGCACGGCCAAACTTTTTCTGCTCTGCGGAAATAAAAAAGTTGCAAAAAGGTTTTCACGTGAATCGCGGACAAATTAAAAATCCCGCTTACAATGAGATTAAAAATAAATTCGAGGCTTAGCAGGAGAAAAGAAGGCATGAAAAATGCGCAAATTGTTTGTTGAAAGTATGGAATTAATATAAAAGGGTCATTTGCGCTGCGCATGCAGGGGTGGCGGAAAAATTCCTTTTTTGTTTTCGCGCCGGTAATCCTGGCTGTGCAGGCCGAGGCCAATTAATACCGATGCACAGACGCTTTCCTTTTCGCTTTTGGGCCGCCGCCGCCGCTCTTTCCTCGCTCCCCACACACACGATATTTATCACTTCTTTCTGTTCCAACACCATTAATCTAACATGGGGCTGACGATTCATTTATTACACCATGTTCAGCCCGCCGAGCCACGTATAAATCCACCTCCCATATACTTTTGCACAACTGATGTCTTCCTTCATAGGGAAGTTTTCTATGCGCCGAGTGCCAGATCTGCAGCCTGCGCGCTTGACGATCGCAAAACGAGACTTGAATCTTCTCCCTCGCGACACAGGCGCCGACCGAGCTGCCCTTTCGCAATTCATTCGCTTGCAAAAAGTCAAGGAAACCAAATACAAAGACAAGTCGTTTCGTTGCCCGCACTTCTTCTTTTCAATACAAGTGGCAACAAGAATGTGGGTAAAAAGTGATGATTAGCGTAAATAATTTATTTATTATTCTAATAGTTATAAAAAAATCATCATTCTTGGGTTTTAAGTGATTAATTATTAAAAAAATAATAACATTTACTGAGGAGCTTTTGATTTCTACACTGAAATTAAAAAATTCTCAATTTTTTCGCATAAGTTCAATTTAAATTTTTGTTGATTTAATATTTCCATCTCAATTGGGGCGATTTGTAAGTGATTTGGAATATTTTTAATTTTTTTTAGCCGGGACAATATTGAGTTATAAATCATTTTTGCAAATTTTCAAAAATTCAGTTCTCTCATTGACTTTAATTCTCCTTGGAACTGATATGAAAAGAGAAATGGGCATTAAATTTTTCGCAAAAGCCTCTCTTTAAATTGTATAAAACGCCCTGATTTTGAAATATAAATTTTTTTATCCAGTATTTTATGCTCTAGAGTTTTTTCCCCTACTTTTTTCTTTTTGTCAAGATGATTCCCTCGTGATTGGCGGTCATTGTAGTATTAAACCTTGTCCGCACGAAACGCTGCATTTTGAGCAAAAAATGGCCTCTCGGTTATACAATGTTGATGCGGTTAATTCCGAGCTAATGATACACGCCTCAAAATAAACACGTAATATGCATCTTGAGCCGAGTTATTCAAGCGCAAATCCTGCCTGCGCCCGACGAAATAATTGCCAGCAGAAAAACGGCAGCGAAATTTCTTGACAAAAGTTGTTTAAGCTCATTTCGTCTTAATTAGCAGAATTTCACATTCCGTCATCGCATTGCGCGCTTAAATTCCATTATTAATAATTATATTTCTGCGAAACTCGAAAGCTTCTCTTTTGTGACAAAGAAACGGACTTAAGCGCCGCCGCCGCCGCCGCGCCAGACGAAATATAAGGAGCAAAAAGAGAGGCCGAAGAAAGGCAGCGCAAGAAGCGCGCGCGGCCACATTAAAGGGGTTAATCCGCTTAGCATCATTTAAAACGTTCTCTGCTCTGTTGATTGCATTATATACGCGCCTGTCAACAAGACTTTTGTCTCCTCCGACTTATAATTCTGCTAATGGAAACAGAGTCAAAGATTTGAATTTTTGTTTCAGAAATGTGCATCGAGTGCCTGGTGAACCGGAAGAAGAACATCAACTTCAACTACGAGAACTCGTACGTCCACATCAGGAGGGTCGAAAGCGACCTGTCGCCCAAGAAGGTGAGCAATTAAAAATTAAAAACAGCCCACGTAAGACCGGCTGCGCAGGAGAGACATAAATATCAGAGGCGCTTGATTTACTCGTTCAAATTAGTAGCGCGGCGCGATCGTGATTTATCGCCAGCGAGTCCGTGTGATCTGTTTTTCGACTCGCCCGCGGCCCTTATTGTCCGGTAGCTTTGAAATAATTACATGCATATCACAGAGAGCGGCCGACGGGGCGTGGGGAATCCGATATAATTATTTATTAAGGTGGTTGTCGTGACACCGAAATTACACACGCCGCGCGCCATTCATAAATAGTAACAAACGCAGCAGCGCCGCGGGCCACGCGCATTGCTTTATTAACTCCAAACTTTTCTTTATTCGCAGAGTTGAATTCGTTTTATTTCGTTTGGCGCTCGTTCAGCACAATAAATGCGTGTGTGTTTGTTTGGTTGTGCGTTCGTTCATTGCAGCTTTGTACGTTTGGAAGTGGCGCCTGTAGGGAAGCTGGAGACGCCGGCCGCAGGAAGAAACCCCCGAGGGGTGAGCACAGCTCAGAATAAGACGACAACTCGGCGTCTCTCCATTAAATAGATTCCGCCGCACAAAAAAGAAATTCTTCATCTCCTTTGTCTCTCTCTCGCTCTCCGGCCGTCTCTCCCCAGCTGATAAATTTCAACCCCCGGCCGGTCAATGACTCTGCTCAACCTGCATTTCTATAATATCCATTCGATCTAATCAAAGCATTTAGTTTACACCGAGAAATAAATCTAGAAAAAGTATTTTTGTTTACAGACCGTTTTGCATATCCATTTGAAATAATAATTCCGACTTTTATTCGCAGATGTCCGCGAGCAAATCTGCTCCGAGTGACCCAGGCCGATCGCGGAGGCGCAGACACAAAGTCGACTTTGACATCAAAGTGAGCGCGGCCGACTCGATCAGGACCGTCAAAAAGGAGGTAAAAGCAATAAAAGCCAAACGGTTTATGGAAACAAATATATGAGTATGAAACCGGCAGCTGCGGCGAGGCAAAAAATCGGCCAATATATGCACCTGGTATTACTCATTCTACCTGCGGCCGTCTCTCGCAAAAAAAACAACTCGCATCGCCGCTCTGCCCATCGTAAATGGAAGTTTTTTTTTTGCATACCAACTTTCTACACAATTCCGAATGCGGAATCCTTTCAATTTATTAATTTCATTCAAATTACCGTATAAAAAATCTGTTTTTTTATTTAATTAGTGTTGGCAAGTTCAATTTTTTCCTTATCATTGAAAGTTGGTTTTGAGAGGGTATACAATTGGCAAGGCGCGTGTGTCGTGCACGTTGCCTACCTTTAATCCCCTCAACCGGCTTTTCGGTCTCGGCAGTTGTTAATCGTTCAAAACTGGAAGAGTTCGTTTGGCTCGTCTGAAGTCTGAATATGGAGAGAGCGATTGCGATTCCCCGCGCGTCTGTTATGATTAAGCGAGCCTGTTGTGCCGCCAAGGTAGAAAAAGCAGGTTACTTTTCTCTGCGCGTCGCTGCAAAAAGTTAATATTTAGCGTTGGTCCGTGCGCCGTGTGTCCAGGGCTTGATGAATACGGCAAAAACACAACGTGTACATTATTAATCCAGATAACATGGCGCGGCGGCAAAAAGCGTCTTGGTGCGCTTGAATAGGACGGACTGTGTGGTAGTTTAAGCGGATAGAGTTGCGGCCGTAAATATTATTACAACCGACGAGCATGAATGGCTCAGAATGTTAATTCTCCGAGGCAAAAAGTAGTTCGCTCCGGGGAAAAAGTCCATTTGTTATTTCGGCCGAAATCACTTGGATTTAAAAAGAGGCTGAAAAATCGCCGCCAATTAATTCGGAGCGGCGCATTAACATATCACGACGATAATAATTGCGCGGCGACACATGTTGAACGCGCGCGAATCGTGTCGGCCTCACCGGGAGGTGCGCGTTTCATCGTTTCTCTCATATTTCATGCGCTCGTAAAACACCGAGAGAGAGACGAGCTTGCTTTTAATCTGTTTGCACCTGCATTCGCTGCCCACAGATTGTTCTCGGAAATCGAAACGTTGAAAATTGTAAAATCAAGAATTTAATTAATTGTCCACTTGTAACAGAATCGCCGTGCTAATTTTTCAGAAAAGTTCAATTGAAGTTTGAAAGAAAAAAAACGTGGTTTTTACATTTTTAAAGTTTCTGAGAGAATTAAACTAATTTTTTTCGATTTAATTAAACCTAAAAAAAAAACGAGATAACCTAAAGATGCGCCATGTTTTTTATCTCATTGAGTTCAAATTTTGGAATTTATTGTAAAACAAGCTATTTTGAAAATATTTATTTTATTTTCAATTATTTAATTGTTTTTTATTTATAGCTATAGAACGGTTAAAAAATAATCTTTTCCCAAGAGTTAATTTCTAAAAAAATAAGGCTTTTTTGTCATATTTGAGTCAAATTGAAGAAGTTTTATTGTATTCCACTCAAACTTGAAGCATTTGAAAAAAGAATGGTTTTAAAGTCTATGAAGGTTTTGGAATATAATTTCAATGCATTGAAGAAACGATAAAAAAAATTTCATTCCAAGAAAGAAACTTTGATTGTAAACCAGAGATTTTTATCTGTGATAAATAATAAAAAGCTAAAGCTATAATTTTTCTGAAAGAAAATTAAGTCCTCTGAATAAGTTGTCACTAAAAATTTATTCGCACTTGATTTTTCATTGTTGTTTCGTATATTTTGCGTAAATAAACACATTTTGAGCTTTTTCCCCGCGTCTCGGAAAGCTCGTTTGTCTTGTGCAGGGAATCGTGCTCAAGGTTGCTGGGCGCATTTGTCTGGAGGTGTCAAGAGTGGCCGCAAGCCCTGCGGGACACTTTGATTCTGACAACGAAAACCATTTTTACCCGCCACACGCTTTTCGCAATTTCCGCGCGTTTGTTTTGACGCGTCACTCAATTTGCCCTTTTTCCCTTTAGATCATGAAGAAGCTGGACAACGGCTCGTGCTTCAGCGACCTGCACCTCTTCTCGCAGGACGGCCGCGCCCTGGACGAGCTGGACAGGACCCTGCGCGAGTACGAGATCAGCCAGGACACGACCATTCTGCTCAAGGTGAGCCTTTTTGTTGTTTTGTTGTCAAGGGAGGGGGCGTGCAAATAAATCGGCTGCGTCTGGCGTGCGCGAGGGCTTAACAAAGAGTTATTCAAGGCAGATCTCGAGAACAATCGTTATCAGCGCCGCGATAAATATGCAAATGCTGCTAATTGCCTTTTGCTGCGCCGCCGCCTTTTGCTCTTTATTGTCTGGCAGATTTAGTGGCGCTGCAACTTATCTAACTTCCTGAGCAAGGGTCAAATTATTAATAGGACCATTCGTTTCGACCAAGACAGTTTTGGGCCAAATAATTAACACCAAAACTTAATTACACGTCACTCTTCTGATTGAAGACCAACTCAACGCATTTTAATTGTTCTTTATTATGAAAGATTCCAAAATTCAAAACCGTAAAAACATAAATCGGCTTTTTCTCACACAAAAAACTTGGGATTTTGGTCTTTGGTGGCGCTGCGATCACAAAGGCAGCGATCTCAGCGCCACCAGTGACCAAAAGCTCAAGTTTTTTATCCGATTTGCAACGCTTTGGAATTTTCACAAAATCGTTTCTTGGAAATTTGTGACCTTTCAGATTTAAATTTATTTTGCACCGAGTTTCAGTAAGACTAATGGCGTCTTGGCACGACAAAATTGATGGGAGGAAAAGAGGAGCGCTCTAATCAGATCTGCCGGCGGGAAAAACGTTATTACAAGTCTGTGAGGCTCGCTCACGTTTGAACCCTTTTGCTCTCTCTCGTGTGAGCTGATTAATGGTCGGGCCGGTGTGATTTCTCAATCTATACAAATCAATCACCCGGCGCAATGGATGGCTTTCTTTGAAAGGGAGCCGGGATGACCTCTCGCACCGACCACTATCGAAAATATGCGCCACATTATTATTATGTCCGCTTCACGAGCGCGCATAAATCAATGAGTTTATAACTTGATTATACACCTTGTTAAATTCAATTTTTATTTGCGCGCGTTTTGAGCAAAGAAAGCGGCTTTTGGCGCTTGGATTTTTATTATTTATTCCCGGTGCGTGTCGTAATGAAAAATGAAATATACGCCGCGAGTAAACACTCGAGCTTAATCATCAGTCTGCATCTTTGTGGAATTCCGCTGCGTGAATTGCGAAATATTTATTTTAATGGGCCGTGTGGAGCCGAAAAAGAAACTTTCCCACAAACGGTGGTTTCAACTTATTACTTTGGCTTCAATTGCGATTGTAATTAAAAAAAAAAATTAGTTATTCAATTAAAAAGTTGATAAATAAGTTTCAATTTGAAAATTAAATCGATGGGAAAATTAAGTTGGTAAACTTTTTTAATCCATAACCATTTAAAAAAAGATGTATACAATTTATTTTCTCTTGCCTTTGGAACATTTAGAAATTACAAATGAAATTTCCCTGCGTACGAGTCTGTTAATTTTGGTTGGTTTTGTGAATAAATTGTGTGTGTGTTTGTTTCGCGAAAATGAATTGTTAATGGTGGCCGCAGTTGGAAATTGTGTTTGCTGACTTCAAAAGAATTTCGTTTGGCTCGGCCAAATGCCTGCATTGCGAAAGAGATTATCCGACGACTTTTTCGTACATGTTTGCTTGGCTGACGCACAAACAAGTGTTGGTCGGTTTTGGTAAGAGGGCCGAAAAATGTGTTTAATCCCGCTCGTAAATTTCCACAGCTTTTCTTCCCCTCCTCGGAGATTAATGCGCCGCGATTAAACAGTAATTATTATATTTTCATTTTTCCGAGCGAGAGTTTTCTCTGCCCCGCGCTCCGTGCGCGTGTAATTAGGCTTTGATACAAAGTGAGAGAGCATCAAGGCCACGGCCCGAAGCGAGCATTTTCATTTTTATTTTCTTCTTCAGGTAGCCGATTTTCGGTGCCGGTGCTGCCATCTGATAGGGCTAATGACTTTGATTCATTAAAAGCGAGGCAATTTGTTGAGCGCGAATCGCCAAGGATGCGAGGCTAATTTTATTATAATTACGCCGCAGAGCCACTTGGTGGTCTCTTTCTCGCTAGACAATGCCATTACAATCTGCACTATTTGCTCTCTCAGTCAGTCTCGTTGATGGCTTATCTCGCTGCCAATCTAATTACGTTTATGCTTCCATTTGTTATGGTGCGGCGCAAATCATTAGCCTCGTGATTGATGCGCTTTTTTACGCCGATTTGAATAATTCATAATTCGCCAGAAGCGGACAAATAAAATTTCAAACCCTTTGATTCCGTCGTCGTATTTATACGAAATTGGTTTTCTTGGTACGCGCGCCGCAAATGGAAAGTTTATTGCCCGGGCGCATTAAAAGCATCGGGTGATGGAGTAGCAGCTTTTTCCTTTCATTTGCATCGAAGCTGCTTTTATCGCCGTCGCGAGAATTCCAACGCAAATTGAAACTCTCGATTAGCATGTCGCTGTTATTTAATTTAAAAAAAGCCAACTTCGCCGCTGGACCAAGCGAATTTTGGCACCTTTAATGACAGGTCAACATGCATGTGTAATAAATTACTATTGCGCAAGTGCCGAATAATTTTCTAAATCCACCAAGCTTGGAAAGTGACTACTTATCATAAAATGATAATTTCTGCAGAAGTTCAACCAAGAGAAAAGTGAAGAATTTTGATTAAATTCCATAATTGGTGATAATTAAAATTCAGAGAAAGAAAATTACTAAAAATTGAGATAAAATTTTTTGTTTTTCATAATAATTTGGAATTTTCAAGTCTACAGTTCAATGATCCTTTTCGAATTGATAAAAAAAAACTCATTTCACCGTCAGAATTTTGACTATAATCCAGGCGCGCTCTACACTTTTGACAAATGAGCGCCATCAACGCCGGCGTAAGTAGCAATTTCCCGACAGGACGTGCAGCGATGGAAAAATGATACAGCGCGAGAGTGATTTGATGGATTTATTAGATTGCCCGATCCCGAGTGAGAAAACAAATAAAATTAGTCTTCGCTCGCTCTTTGGAGAGAATGAGAGAGAGATATAAAATAATAGATGTGCAGGCGATTGGGCCACTTTGCCGGCTCGGCCAGATAAGACGTGAAACTGACGTAGATGAATTCGCATGCTCGCGGATAAAAGGAAAAGGCGTCGAGCCTTTGCAATGATTTATAGGGCGAGGGGTGTGTTGTGCCTTCGCTGCGACTTTTGCATCTGCAGCGTATTTGAGCCATTAAGCAGCCGAATTATTTCGCTGCACGCAACATTATGACTTTATAATGCACTCGCTTCTTCTCTTACAATTAGTTCTCTCTCTGGATAGTGTTCCGCTCGCGCATTCATTATCTGAAATTTGGAAAAATGAATGGGCCCGGCTGTTGTTTCAGCCGCTTTAATTCACTCTCGCGCTGATGGATGCAAATGTGCAGCCGCGTCCAATCTCTCAATTCTCAATGTTATCTTAAACTAGTCTTGAACAAGTCTTTATTTTGTCCGCCTTCTTTTAAGATAACTTGAATTATATTTCCGCTGAAAATATTTTTGGATGTTTACAGATAAAAATATTTTAAATTGATTAAATTTTATTACGAAAGGAAACTGTAAGGACAAGGTACAAAATTAGCAAGTTAAATAAGAAAATAATTATTTCAAGAGCGCCTTGAAAGCTATTTTTTACATTAAAAATTCAAATTTATTTAAGGATTTTTATTTGATATTCAACAAAGAATTTAAAATTAAATTTGTCTCAATTAAAAATACTTTTAGAAACCTTCAAAAGCTTTAATTTTATAGCTTGAATAAAAATCTCACAGGAGAGCCTTTTTTAAAAAAAGGCTCAATTAATTTTGATAGTATGTAATTTTTTACTTAATTAGCATTTATTTGTAGGTCATTGGGAGAGCTGAATTTTCAAAATTTAGCATTGTTCCTTTGGGAAATTTTCAATTGTTTTCCAAACCAAAATTTATCAAAATTTCGCTAAATCACGTTCATATCACCCCATTAATGAAAGTAAATAAAATCAATAGGTATCAGTTGACGTAATAAAAATTAGATTAATCCTATACTACCTTCCTATAGGACGTATAGGAAAAGGTTTCAGAAGTTTTTACTTGTACAGAAATCACGGAGGTTGAGAAAAAGTGTCATTTTTGTTGGAAAATAAAGCTTGAACGGAAGCTGGATCTAAATCAATTGCACGCATGAGTTGAGGCAGCTTTAAGCACAGCCGATGATTTTCAACAGTCACTTGGGCCGCTTTTGTGTTTGGGAAAAATGCAATTAACTTTTTTACCAGCGAGATCAGCGCCGCCATGTAAATGTGAATTGCCTCGCTCATCTCCCCGATAACTCATTGTGCAGTTAATTAAAGACTTTTTCTGCTCGTCTGGACCGCAGCAATTCGCTTCATTTGCCGCTTGGCTGCCTCAAATTACACACTAATTATTTATTTCGTGCGTTATCAAAGATAAATAGAACAAAAACCTTTGGCTACCTGAATTCAACATCGATCATTGAGTTTAAAACAAGTGCGGAGGAAAAAAGACAAATAATGAATTTTAAGAGGTCAGTGGCCGTCGGCGTTAAAAGTCGGGAGCTGCACGCTGGAAGTGTGACTGCGCGTGTAAAAAAACTTCACTTCTTTCTCTCCGGAGCCGCCGTACCTTCCTTCAGGCCCTTTGAGGAAAAAAAGGTGATGCTCGAGTACCTCGCAAAGGTGACGTCGCTTCGCTTTTTTATTTGCATTCGCTTTTTCTCTCTCGCTCTTTTGCTTTGGAAATTCTTGAATGAATCTTGAACGCTCTGCTCGAAGGGAGAAGTTTTTTGTCAGTTTGCGGCAACGCTCCATTTTTTACGCCCACCGAGTGTATTATAACTCGGTGGTGTATGAGCTTCGCACTTAATTTAACTTTGAAATCACTCTTTTAACTTCAATTGGAGGATGCAATTGAGGCAAAAAGAGTAGGAATAATTATACAGCCATTCATACCAACTTCAAAAGCATATGAATGAATAAGAAGAGGCTCTGAAAAAACGGGCAAGAATATTTATTATATTT